CTCAAACATTTATAAAAGTTAGCTATTTCAAACAAATCTAGAAGTTAGCTATCTCAAACATATCTAAAAGTTAGCTATCTCAAACATATCTAAAAGTTAGCTATCTCAAACATATCTAAAAGTTATCTCAAACATATCTAAAAGTTAGCTATCTCAAACATATCTAAAAGTTAGCTATCTCAAACATATCTAAAAGTTAGCTATCTTAAACATATCTAGAAGTTAGCTATCTCAAACATATCTAAAAGTTAGCTATCTCAAACATATCTAAAAGTTATCTCAAACATATCTAAAAGTTAGCTATCTCAAACATATCTAAAAGTTAGCTATCTCAAACATATCTAAAAGTTAGCTATCTTAAACATATCTAGAAGTTAGCTATCTCAAACATATCTAAAAGTTAGCTATCTCAAACATATCTAAAAGTTAGCTATCTCAAACATATCTAAAAGTTAGCTATCTCAAACATATCTAAAAGTTATCTCAAACATATCTAAAAGTTAGCTATCTCAAACATATCTAGAAGTTAGCTATCTCAAACATATCTAAAAATTAGCTATCTTAAACATATCTAGAAGTTAGCTATCTCAAACATATCTAAAAGTTAGCTATCTCAAACATATCTAAAAGTTAGCTATCTCAAACATATCTAAAAGTTAGCTATCTCAAACATATCTAAAAGTTAGCTATCTTAAACATATCTAAAAGTTAGCTATCTCAAACATATCTAAAAGTTAGCTATCTCAAACATATCTAAAAGTTAGCTATCTCAAACATATCTAAAAGTTAGCTATCTCAAACATATCTAAAAGTTAGCTATCTCAAACATATCTAAAAGTTAGCTATCTCAAACATATCTAAAAGTTAGCTATCTCAAACATATCTAAAAGTTAGCTATCTCAAACATATCTAAAAGTTAGCTATCTTAAACATATCTAAAAGTTAGCTATCTCAAACATATCTAAAAGTTAGCTATCTCAAACATATCTAAAAGTTAGCTATCTCAAACATATCTAAAAGTTATCTCAAACATATCTAAAAGTTAGCTATCTCAAACATATCTAAAAGTTAGCTATCTCAAACATATCTAAAAGTTAGCTATCTCAAACATATCTAAAAGTTAGCTATCTTAAACATATCTAAAAGTTAGCTATCTTAAACATATCTAGAAGTTAGCTATCTCAAACATATCTAAAAGTTAGCTATCTCAAACATATCTAAAAGTTAGCTATCTTAAACATATCTAAAAGTTAGCTATCTCAAACATATCTAAAAGTTAGCTATCTCAAACATATCTAAAAGTTAGCTATCTCAAACATATCTAAAAGTTATCTCAAACATATCTAAAAGTTAGCTATCTCAAACATATCTAAAAGTTAGCTATCTCAAACATATCTAAAAGTTAGCTATCTCAAACATATCTAAAAGTTAGCTATCTCAAACATATCTAAAAGTTAGCTATCTCAAACATATCTAAAAGTTAGCTATCTCAAACATATCTAAAGGTTATCTATCTCAAACATATCTAAAAGTTATTTCAAACATATCTAAAAGTTAGCTATCTCAAACATATCTAAAAGTTAGCTATCTCAAACATATCTAAAAGTTAGCTATCTTAAACATATCTAGAAGTTAGCTATCTCAAACATATCTAAAAGTTAGCTATCTTAAACATATCTAGAAGTTAGCTATCTCAAACATATCTAGAAGTTAGCTATCTCAAACATATCTAAAAGTTAGCTATCTCAAACATATCTAAAAGTTAGCTATCTCAAACATATCTAAAAGTTAGCTATCTCAAACATATCTAAAAGTTAGCTATCTCAAACATATCTAAAAGTTAGCTATCTCAAACATATCTAAAAGTTAGCTATCTCAAACATATCTAAAGGTTAGCTATCTCAAACATATCTAAAAGTTATCTCAAACATATTTAAAAGTTATCTCAAACATATCTAAAAGTTAGCTATCTTAAACATATCTAAAAGTTAGCTATCTCAAACATATTTAGAAGTTAGCTATCTCAAACATCAAATGTTGCATCCATCCATAGGCACTATTTATTTAGTTAAATTTTAAATGTAAAATCTGTATGTTTAAAAATCTTAACATCAAATCTTACAAAACTTAAGTATAATGTAAAGGTTGACAAAAGTTTGATACAAACATAGGATCTGAATTAGATTTTAGAGAAAAAGATGGAGTACTTGTATCTATTAAAATTTTTTTTAAATACTGTTTTCAAAAAAAAAATCTTCTGATCATTGCTGGATTAAACTTAAAAATGAAATTTTTTTTTCAGAATCCAGAAACATCTTCTGAAACTTATGATAAACTTCTGTATGCTAAAAATCTTGGTGGCTTATGGGAAACGTCTTCTTTAGTTTTATAATTTTTCAATCGTAATTGAACATAGTAGTCTTTGAGCAAAATAAGAATTTATTATCGGACACTATTCGTTCTAAACGCATCGTAAAAGCCTAATTATTGATACTAGGGCCCTGCGAAGCTTCGAAATTTCGAATCGAATCGAGTCAAATATATGATTTGAGATACAATTCGAAAATTTCCCAAATTCGAATCCTTACTTATTTTGTTTTTGTTGTGGGTATTTTAGATATTCTGCGCTTTGGCGCAATCAAAATAACGTTACTTGTCCTTAAATACCTTTTTAATCAGTCATTAAAAAGGTTACCAGTGTAAGATGCATCAACAAAAAGATTATACAATTGTTTTATTTTATTTAGAAATACATATTATTAAATAAAAAATGCTTAAATTTAGACTTCAAAACGTTGATTTGAAACGTGATTCGAATCGCAAATCAAGACCTGCTTTGATTCGAGATTCGATTCGAAACAAAAACTGCCGATTCGTAAGGGCTCTAAGATATGTTTTAAAACAAAAAAAGCAAAACACAATTAGTTAAAAAAAACTTTCTTGTCATTTTTATTGCGGTTTTTTTTAAAAAGATAAAACTTAATGTACTTCTGCATTATTTTAATCTCTGTCTCTCCAGATCGCAATATTGCAGCCATTGATCATAGATTATTTAAACATCAAATTTCAAAAAAGATTAAGTTATTTAACTTAAGGTTTTCAAAATGGTAGAGTAATGAAAAAAGATTTATTTAGAAAAGTTGGCGCAATACTTGTAAGGATCAACCTCTAAGAAAAATTCAATCATTTGATTTGATACTTTATGTACTGTTCACCCAGTAGGCTGACCTAGCTCACCTAAAAAAGACGTCTTTTGAAAGTTTAAAAGAACGTCCAAAAGACGTTTAAAAGACGTCATTTTTACGTCCAGTGCCCACTGGGCATGTATACTTATGTAAAAAAAAACAACCATTTTTTTAATACAATAAAAAAAGTTATCAGGAAAAAAGCAATTTTTATAAATTTTAAAAATTTTCAAGTCATATTAATCAATGTAAATAAATTTTATTTTCTTCTCAAAATGTATTGAAAGAAAAAACTGAAAAAATATTATTTTTCTTAAGATGTTCCCGCTAATGAGGAATATAGATTTCAATAAAGATTTTCATAATGAACTTATTGAATCAATGGCTAGACAAGTTAAGTAAATACAATGGATTAATGTCTAATGAATAAACTGACGTTGTAAATAAGGAGCTATTTGTGTACGATGGATTCCTATTAAGTTTGATGTAAATGTAAATTTCTAGCACAAATAATATAAAGCTATTTAAAATGAAACACGTAAGAAATGCTGTATATAAAAATAAATATAGAATTAATCGCAGTGTTTTTTTACATTTTGGTTATTTACTTGCTTTAAGAAACTTTAATTGTTTTGTCAAACAGCACCACGGAAAAGCAGTTAACAATGGAATCCACTCCCAAAAATTTAATTTACGCCCATTAGTTTTTAATGATTTATTTATTCTGAAACCCATAAGTAATTACACCTATCAGTCATGCCCATGACTCGACTCGAGATTTAAATGGGGTTTTGCCCTATAGCTATGACTTGACTTAAGTCTTGCTAATTTCGGTAAAGCGACTTACCCCATGTTTTTAGTTTTTACGAATTCGATAGCGTGTTTTTGATACTCAGTTTCATTGCTATGAGTAATTGATTAGTGGAGTATCTGCATCTAATACCGACAAACTAGGCATCCAATTTTGAAAAATGAATGTGTAAAATTTACCAATCCTCTAAAGTATTGCCAAGTATGCTTTTGTGGATACGGAGTGGGGGTTTGTATCCCCCCTACCCACCAGAATCTTAAAGTCCTAAATTATCTTAGATAATGGAAATTCTTTTTTTTTTTCAGGAGATGCAAATGTGATACAAGTTGCTGAACTTTAGAGAAAAAATTGTTTTTTATTTTAGAAACGAGTTGCTCGGCTTTCGACAAAAAAGCTTGGCTGCACTTCCTGCCAAAAAGTTAAAAAAGTATGGCGAAAAAGCTAAGATTGGAATGAAATTATCTAAATAATGATCCAGTAATAAAGTTTCTTGTTATTTTAAAAATAGAAAGCAACAGCTGAGTTATATAGAGATGATAGAAAAAGCTAAAAAAAAAACCACTGTAAGTCAAAACCACTATAACTCAACCATTGTTAGTCAAGCATCGACACTGATAGTGTATATTTAGCGCTGTGTAAAAGGCAGTGGAATGAGTTCACCCATCACTTTATTTTTGAACTTAGTAGAAGCTGAAAGCGTTACGGCTAAAGGACTCTTTGATGTTTAAATCAAATGTCTTCATTCTTATGGGCGTTATCTAGTTTGCGTTCAGTTTTTGCGGTGTGTCACATAAGTGAGTCAATCTGAAGAAGCAATGGTTGATCCTAAAATAAAAAATGAGGTTAGATGTTAAAAATAGCAACTAAAATAAAAATTTTACTTATAAAGGTTTAAAATAGAGAAAATTAAATCTATAGATAGGGTACAATAGACTAGCTATAATGTAACTCTTTGAATCCACAGAGTTTTTAAAATAAAGTTTTAAAATTATTGCGTGATGTTCTCCAAGAATGATCGGAATTGAGTTTAGAATCCATGAACGCAACATTGATTCGTATAAAGAATATCAAAATATTAAAGTACTTGCAAAATTATTTGATAGTAGAAGAAAAAATGGTGGTCCCTAATACAAATTTGCTTCGGTTTCTGCACAGAATCTCCGCTTTCATGGAGTTTTACTCCACAAGAAAAGTTGAAAAAATGATCCGGCTATTAATCTTAATGTCTTTTATATAAAATTAAGTCAAATAAGAAAAAGTTACTTCTAAAAATGTTAAATCCTAGGCCAAAAAAGTTGGCTAGAAAACATTAGACCAAAAACGTTGGCTAGAAAACATTAACACTATGCCGACATTTGGATAAACTGAAATAAGAAGTTTGTCAATAAGAGTACAATTCATTTACTAAACGCTCTACATACTATCTCTATTTCCTCAAGTGAATATTTAATAGATTTCCTATTTTCTACTAATATAGGAAAAAGATATAATATACACATGGAGCAAACTTTTTATGTTTATATTAATATCAAATAAGGATGCTAGGCCCAAAATTGAGAACATATAAATTTTGATGTTTACTTCACTGAAAGTTAGTTATCTCAGACACTAAAAAATGTCGGATTCGCCTCTGCCTATAATAAGAATTTTCGGGAAAAGATATCGATTTTAAGCGAAAGTAATCAAACATCGCTCTTACTACATTAGTCCGCTAAGTCCGTAAGGAAATAAACAATGAGTAATTGCAATAATTAAAAAAAAGTTAAAAATGTCCTATAAACAATAAATTAATTTTAAATTAACCAGCTGGTCGCTGTTAGAAGAGGATCTTCAACTTTTATTGGGTGAGTGATTAAAACTATAATTCCTTATTGAGCGAGTTAACAGTTTTTATCATAGTTTTTATCTATAATACGTTAATGACCTTTATTAATAATAATCTTAATAAATAATAGAAATTAGCTTACAATATTTTTTTTTACATATTATTCACGCAGAATTTTTTTTTAATTTCTTAGTAATCTTTGCTTAATTTAAAAGAGATGATTTCTGAATAACAATTAAAAAATATTTTTTTTAACTAAATTTAAAAGTATTTTATAATTTTGTTGTATAATAAACTTAAATGTATGCATATTTTTTCAAAGGTCTCTATAATTTGAGTCTTTGGTTTCATTAATTAAATTTTATCTTAATTAAGAATTACATGAAAAAAACTCTGAAAGTTCAATAAAAATTTTTGAATGAATTTTTCAAATAAAGTATTTTTAACATCTAACCTCATTTTTTTAATGAGTGTGCATATGTTACTGGTTCATAGGAATATATCAAAGTAAAATTTAGGGATATTTTTCAATAAATATACACCTACTGACCAACGTTTACAGTTAAGTGTGTGCAAATACATTCTTCTTGTCAATTTTTATTCTTGATATGTCTAATTTATATTTTATAAATATTTAAGAATTTATATTTTATACTAACTTATAGATTTTATAATATCATGCAGTTTGTTTGCTGTGTGTGAAACACCACTAAATATGTTGTAATTAAATTGTCATCTATTAAGGCATTAGTACATACATCAACATGTATATGAATATATGTATGTATATACATTATATATATATATATATATATATATATATATATATATATATATATATATATATATATATGTATGGGCTATTCTAGAAAAATAATTTGGGCAGCAGTACCACCTGTGCCGACGCCTGCTGTAAAGAAATTTGGTAGAAACATTGTATAAAAATAATGTATAAAAAAAAAGGTTCTCAATTTCTGAATTTGGGCGGCACCCAAATGTTGCCTATATACATTCAACGCTGTCGAAAAGGCTCTAGAATAGACCCTGATATATATATATATATATATATATATATATATATATATATATATATATATATATATATATATATATACCTACCTATAGTTTAACATCTAATTTTTCCATTTGTGGTAAAAAGTGTCTCTTAACAACATATTGTGTTTGAAGAAGACAAGAACACTTTATATAATATCATTAAATTTAGTTGAAGATAATAAGTTTTATTGTGTTTGAAAAACCAGAAAAATGCAAGTTAATAGACTAGAATGTTTTTAAAAACATATATGTATATATATATATATATATATATATATATATATATATATATATATATATATATATATATATATATCAGGTTTTGTTTTAAAGCGTTACGCGTAGAATTATTTACGTACGCCATTATTCAATTTTATGTAAATAGTAAGCGATTTTGATTAAGCAACTATTTATCATTTGTAAGAATATTTTTTATAAAAGTTTAACTGACAATTATGTTTGATATAAGCACTATTTACTAATGAAAAAAACTCTAGTAAAATTAAAAGTTTATTTTGATTTTGTTTTTATTTTATTGTAATGATTGATTTTTTAAGCTTAAATCAAAGATCATAAAAACTTAATTTAGTTCTGATAAAAAATATATGATTTAATTTAAACTAATTTAATAAAAGTATATAATAAAGTAAAAGTTTGGTTTGTTTTATAAAAAAAATAATGAAATTCTTCTACATAAAATTTGACAGAAAAAAGAAAACCCAAGCATAATATTTATAACTCGAGTTTGAAAGAACTTATTTGTATTGGCATCATTTATTAACTACAAAAGAACATTAATTAGATCAGTGTTTTTTAAATTGTAGAGCTGGAACTTACTTTTAAGAAAAAAAAATGACGTTAAAATTTTTTGACCATTGAAGTTATTAACTTTAACAGTCAAAAAATAAATAAAAACTATCAACCTTTTTTTAACAATTTGGCTTTAATGAAATCTTCGCATACTACTCATTAACTAATTAATCATTTTTATTCAGGCTTTGATCAATTCAAAAAATTAAAGAAACTTGTTAAAAGCAGTTTCAAAACTGCAATTTAAAATAAAGTTGTATGTAATACGAACATTTTAAAGTAACTTGAAATAAATTTATTTAATTTTTTTTTTTACTTTATCATAGTTTTTAAATTTTAGCAGTAAAAAAAAAAAATTGTAAAACTAAAGTAATAATAGTAAACTAAAGAAATGTAAAACTAAAGTAATCATAAAGTAATAAACTAAAGGAATCATAAAGTAATAAACTAAAGAAATAAATAATGTAAAGCGTTTTAAAACTTTTAAGAGAATTTTATTTAAATTTAATAAAATAAATTTATATTTAATTATATTTAATAATAAATTTAATTTATATTTAATAAAATAAATTAAAAATATTAAAAAAAAACAAAGAAAAGAAAAATTAAAAAAAGTTGTCTAAAAAATGTCTAAAAAAGAATACTTATCATTGTCTAAAAAAGTTGTTTATAAAATCAAAATAATTTCTTTTATTTATCATTTTATAAATTACATATTTATAAAACTTGTTAAATAAAAGTAAATTAAATTATATTTAACTTTTATTAATACTTAAAAAAATAAATTATTATGGTTTATTAATACTTAAAAAAATAATTAATTATAACAAAATTAATTATAATGATTGTTTAAAATAAACGCAATTTGTGTAAATTAACAAAAAATGTTATAGTTAAATTTTTTCTCATATAGGCATGTATTTTTTATGATAAGTTAATATATTGTGGTTGAAATTAATCTTTATTTAAATAATCTAAAAATAAATATTTATAAATACATGGAAAAATAGTTTCAAACATTACAATTCAAGAAGATTTATATCTTTTGTTTGAAACTATTTTTCCATGTATTTCTAAATATTTATCTTTAGATTATTTAAATAAAGATTAATTTCAACCACAATATTTTAAATTACTTTAAAAAATACATACCTATTATTATGAATAAGTTAAATTAAATCTTCCCATTGCAATCGAATGATTTAATTTCTTTTCTTTTTTTTGTTTTTAAAATAAGTTGTTTAAATTCTTTTTAACATTTTTAAAAATCTTTTTTTGTTTGCTTTATTTACCTAAAAAAAATTTAATTATTTTTTACTTTTTAGAAACAAATGTATTTTAAAAAAATGCATGTTCATAAAAAGCATGAAATGATTTTAAAAAGAGTTCAATTATCTTCTTTTTTTTATGAGTCATTATTTACTAATGTGTATTTGTATGAAAACTTACTGTTAAAAAAACAATTCAAATTAAAGTGGGTGATTATTTAACAATCATTATAACTTGTTACTTTATTTAGAAAGTTTTCTATATTAATATAAAAACATTATTAAAGATAAAAGATTCAAAGTTTGTTAAAATCTTTTTAAAAACTATTTTAGCATTTTTTGATTTTTATTTTAGTGGAGTTATATAATTATTTTTTTTGTGTTTTAGTTTTAGTTCTTTTTATTTTCTCTTTTATTAAGATTTCTTTTCTTTTTTTAAAAAAAATTTTTGCAAGATTTTTTTAAAATTAAGTCTAAAAGCTTTTTTTCAGCGCATTTTTTAAATGTTTAACTTATGCTAACAGTGGTCAAATTGTTTAACTTATGCTAACAGTGGTCAAGTTGTTTAACTTATGCTAATAGTGGTCAAATTGTTTAACTAATGCTAACATGGTCAAATTGTTTAACTTATGCTAACATTGGTCAAATTGTTAAAACAAAGTGTTTTTTAGTAGTCATATAATGACATGTGATTGCATATTAATGCAATACCTTAAACATTGATGTTATGTAATATTTTGTATTGCTTTGTCATATTGCCACGCTCATGTCTATGATCTATTGAGTGATTTAGTGCATGCAGCATTTGTTTCAACCTGTACTAAATCGATTCAAGAAGGTTTATATCTTTTTTATGGGCTGATGAGGCAGCTTTACATGCTTGTGCTAAAGATTTAAGATCATATGTTATTAAAACACAAAGATCTTGATTGCAGGTAGTTTTTGCAATATTGAATCGCATAATATTATTGTAATTGGTTAGAGTGTAGTTTGATATAGGATTGTTTTTACCAACATGCATAACTTTACATTTATCTATATTATATGCATTAGCCATGTATTAGTCCAGTTAATAGCATTGTCTAGTTCAGTTTGGAGTATTCTTAAACTGTTCTTAATATCTTTTAAATTTATTTTTGCAAGTAATTTAGTGTTGTCAGCAGCATGAAAAATAACAGGCGGTCAATAGTCAATGACCTCCCAAAATGAATAAAATTGCTATTTTGACTTCCCAATGAATTCTTATCTGTTGACTGGTTGAAAAAAAATTTTAGTTTTCAAAAACAGGTTTGACAAATAATCAGAATGTTGTTTGGAAAATGCATTGTAAAATTTCATAAAAATCATTTAAATTTCAAAAAAGTTTTTAAAATAGTTTTATTGCTAACAATATGCTACTTTAATTGCTACCATGTTGTTAAAGTTTAAAGCGTAAAGATGTTGAAGCGAAATGTTGTAATTTTGATTCAATACTGCCTGGTTTTTAAAACATTTCATTAAATTAACTTTGCATTAAATTATCAAAAATTCATTGATAAAAAAGTAATAATTTTTATTCATTGTTTATTGTCATAAATAAAATTAGTTATTAATTCTACTATTTAAAATATATTCGATATATTTGTATTAAATTTATGATTGTTAAAATTTTTATCTAATATTTATTGGATGTTAATAGAAACCAGTAATTTTTTTGCTTTAACAACCCTGAACCCATTAATTTGCTTCATCAATGAAAATATTATATATGGCATAAACTATATATATTAAGCTTTTTTGCTTCACTTATTTAAATTATTTACATTTTACCAATACTGAAAATCTTTTTTTCATAAATGATTGCTAATTTAGCAATCAATTGTTCCATTTTATAGAATCTTTTTAACATAAATTTAGTCTCTTCGATCTCTTTTTTTTTAATTATGAATTGACATGATCTTCTATAAATTGACATAACCTTCTATAAATTGATGTAACCTTCTATAAATTGGCATAACTTTCTATACTTTGACATAACCTTCTATAAATGAACGTAAATGGACATTACCTTCTATAAATTGACATAACCTTCTGTAAATTGACATAACCTTCTTTAAATTGACTTAAGCTTCTATTAATTGACAGTATTTTATTATCTTGAACAATATTATTTTCTCTTAAATAAAAACCATTTTAGGTTTTTATTTAAGATAATATTGTTTAACCAAAATTCGATAATAAGATGATAAAATAATACTATCATTAAAATAGTCAATATTATCTTATCAAGTTATAGAGAAGTCAATAAAACTAAAATTAAAAAGAAAATCTGCTATAATATATATATATATATATATATATATATATATATATATATATATATATATATATATATATATATATATATATATATATATATATATATATATATATATATATATATATATATATATATAATACACAATACAAATATAATATCGATATAATACATCAAATACTATCAAATAATTGACATCCTTAGTAGGTTTTAATCCGTAATGGGTTTTCTTTTTTTCTTTTTTTTGTTGTTGTTGTTGTTGCAATATTAGCAACATTTATTTTATGAAACTTTGAAACATTCTATCTCATTAACAAAACTATTGATGAAATAAGGTAACTATGTTTAAAATGAGGTAAACATAAGATATTACATATATTTTAATTTTTTTTTTTTGTTAGTTTGATATACCTTTTCCAACGAAAATCTGCTAAAATGTATGATCATTACAAAAAAATGTTTCAGTTGTGTGTCATCTTAAATGTTTCAGTTGTGTGCTATTTAAAATGTTTCAGTTGTGTGCTATCTAAAATGTTTCAGTAGTGTGCCATCTTAAATGTTTCAGTTGTGTGCCATCTAAAATATTAACATCTGTAAAAAATATAATTAACATCTGTGAGAAATATAATTTGTGAGAAAGATACTTAAAATCTAACTTCTATAAAAAATATTATTGACATTTGTAACAAATATCTTAAATTAAATAAATACTTCTTTGACAATATTATTTTGTTACTTATTTTATAAATGATTATAAAATATTAATAATTTATACTTAAAAATAATATTATTAGTATCATTTGTAGCAAAAAACAATGTTATGGCGGAAAAAGAAGAAGCAGATGATGATATTAAAATAGATTTGATTAATACTGTAAAAATCAATGTAACAAAAGATTTCAAAAGAAAGAAAAAAGATGATAAAAAGCGTGTATCGATGTCCGATTTTAATACCGATAACATCGGGGTTGATTCCGAATTTAATCGCCGCAGATCAAAATCAGCTCCTATATCACTTGAAGCAGCAAGCGTGGCTACTGAGTTAAAACGCTTGAGTGACTCTCTTCATACCATGTATTCATCCTTTAATAAAAAATCGAGAAGGAAGAATCTTAGTCTAAGTGAATCTACCCCAAAAAGAGAAAGCTTTCATTTCGATTACGATAAGTACCCAGAAGTTATAAACGAAACTAAAATGCACAAAACTCATAGCACATCTTTATAATTTTTTTAAAGAAGTTTTATGTTAAATTTGATATAAATAAAGATTATCTAAATATGTGTTAATGAATGTACATATTATGTTTGTGTTGAATTTGATAAAAAAAAAATTAATCTAATCATGTTAGAGAATTCTTGAAAAATATATAGATTTTAAGTTGCACTTTATGTATATAAGCAGTTATATAAACACGTCATTTATGTAAAATCCATTTATATGATACAGTTTTGATAAATTGATCAAGTTGTTATTACTATACTGTTAAAGTTGTTTTGCGAATATTGGACCTTAAAGTTCTTTGAACATAACTCTTTTCCTACTCGAAGTGCCCATAATCTTATCTATGCAAACCAGAAAGGGATCGTTACAAAAAGCACCAAAATCATGTTATTAAATAATTTCTATTAATTTTAAAAAATCCGCGTAAATTTTTCTGTTTAGTTAAAATTTTTACACTTTACTAATACTAAATTATTCGTTCTCTAACAATTTGTTTAATTTGTATTTTGGACTTGAAAATTCCCTTCAATTTGTGCTCTTTAATAATAAAAAATCTGGTATGAAAAAATATTATAAATAACTCAGATATAATAAATTTTTCCTTATACAGTTCAATAAATGGAATACATCTGGTCACATGTATTGAATATTCTCAAGTGTTTACAACACGGGAGGAAGGTTTATTAATTTTCGGAAAATATTCCCAATTGGTCGAAAAATATTTCCAATTTCGGAAAATATTCCTAATTGGTCGAGCTTATGGTTCCACTACGAAATATAAAATATTCCTCAAAATGGAATAAAACCAATATATTAAATCAAAAAAGCATGGTATAAAAACAATATATTATATCAAAATAAAATATTAAACCAAAATAAAAAATAAGGGAATTATGAAAAAACGGTTGTTATTAAATGTGAGTTTGGGCAACAAGCCACACTTGAATTGTTTTATGCAGATTCTATTTAAATCTTATTGTTTTATGCAGATTCTATATAAACCTTAATTTAGAATTACGAGATAAAAATTTGATAAGCCAACAAATCATTATTTATAAATTTACTTATATGTGTAAAATGGCGTAAATCGGAAGTTTTCAAAAATTAAATAAGATGATATACTTTAAAATGCAAAAAAATGCTTTAGACAAACTTTGTAAAAGTACAATAAAGAGTACAAGTTATCAGTTGCTGAAAATAAAATTATCGTTAAGCAGGAGGTAGCCAAAAAATTACCATCCAAGATCCATTAAACTGGTACAGCGATTCCCAACCATTCCGACGCAGCAACCTGATATTATTAGCGAATTGATATTATCAATAAATATATTCATACATGACAACAGTCTCCTGATATTATTTAAAAATATACTCTTGATATTATTATATAATATACTCTTATATTCTAAATAGAAGTTAAATAGAATAAAAATATATAAAAGTGTTACCTTTTGTGTTACCTTTAATGTTACCTTCTAAATAGAAGGTAGCACTAAAAAATTTTTTTCAAACGCTAATTACGTTGAGAGTTAACAGAAAATAAATTAAAAATCATGACAACAGTTTTTAACACCAGGACGAATTCGATATATATATATATATATATATATATATATATATATATATATATATATATATATACATATATATATATATATATATATATATATATATATATATATATATATATATATATATATATATATATATATATATATATATATATATATATATATTAACTTTAACGAGTTTTCATTTAATGTACGACAGAACCTTTATGTTATAACGGTCAATTTTACAAAGTCAGCAGTTGAACGATAGGATCAAAATCTGATAGATCAAGGGTGGATCCAGAAATCTGATAGATCAAGGGTGGATTCAGAAATAAAGTATTTATATGTTTTCCAAATTATTATTATGTTGTAGATAGAATTTGAAGCCGTTTGTTTAGACTCCATGATCTTTGCGGCGAACGGCAAACGTTCATCAAACTACCCGAAATTCGCTAATTTACCCTAGATTTTTTATTAAATTTTCAAAAAGCTTAAAAGTTATTCTATAAGTACATTTTTAGGATTGACTATTGAAACAAACTTAGTTTTTTTTCATGCTTTTAACATATGGCTTATTACGATATCAATATTATTATATACCAAATGACCAAATGAGTCACTGAATCTCATATTTGAAGTAAGGTCTTCTGAAAACTTGAAGCAAAAAACAAGAAAAGCAAAAAAAAAATTAACATAACATTAAAATGAAAATTTACAAAAAATATTGATAATGTTACATATATATACACCGATATTAATAAATTTATTTATTTATTTATTCTTTTCATCACCCAAAATTACAGGTAAAAAATACAGAGGTCATAAAACTAAAAGTTTATACTATAAGTTAAAATTTAAATTAAGATTCTTCTTGGAATGCTTTCCTCCATTAAATTTTTGAATATCATTCTCTGCTCTCTGACGTTCAGAACTCAAAGGACTGGTTTAAAATTTCTGCTATATTATCTTCTACGTCATCGTTACGACGTTTTATAATGACTTTTTCCCCCCAAATCAAACACTGCAAGACGCTTAGTTCCAGGCGGTTTCAAATTTTCATTATTTCGTAAATAAAGCAGTTTTCCTTATTAACATTAGATATTTGAGTTAAAATCAAGGAAAAACAAGTCGGATTGCTCAGTAATCTGATAAACAGATTCAATTTGTTTTGAACGAGGATGGTAGATACGTCATCGATTTTAAAGTAGGAATGCTGTATTTTGCTGTATTTTGCTGTATTTTGAAATACTAAAGAAAAATTTTAATGCTGATCTTCCAACACCGTCTAATTTATTAAGAAAAGTATTGCTATAATCACAAATTTCTAATCCATATGGTAGATTTTTGTATAGCCAGAGATTTGAACAAATGCACTATTGTTACTGGTTGACAAAAACGAATTCCAGATTTTATAAGAGCTCTGGAGATTGATTGAAATTGAATAATTCTTTTGTTTACATTTGCTGATTGGATTGTAGCTATATTTTGTCCATGGTCTTTATTTTTCCATAAAAATCCGAGGTGTTTCAGTTTATTATTGAGTTTCAGGAAAAAACCGTTGATTTGAATTATGTTTTTTGTACCTAAACTTTTACCGGAGATAATGAACTCGGTTTTTTCTGTGTTTAATTTGATATAGAGGTCTTGACATTGCGTTTGAACTTTATTAATCAACTCTTGTAGCCCAGAAAGAGTAGGACTTTGCAGGATTATATCATCTGCATAAGCAATAATACCAGTGTATAAACCCATTACTGTTGTTCCAATTTTACAATCGGAAACAATTTGACTTAATATACTTTCAGTATAAATGTTGTATAAATGTGGCGATAAAATGAATCCTTGTCGCACACCTTGAGACAAGCGGAAATTATTTGATTTTTGTCCGAGGTATGATATATTAGCTGTACCCGAGCGGTATAATGATTGTAGTGCGCGAACTACTGATAGCTGTAAGTTTTTGTTGTAATAAGGTTTCTCAAACAGCAAATCCCAGTTACAGCTATCAAAAGCCTTGGAACCATTTTCCTCGTTATAATTTTGCATTTTCAAAATTATTTTGAAAATAGAAAATTCTAAAACTTTTCATCAAATTTTACAAAATGATTATGGTAATTTGTTTTTTTATTTCAACTTTGTTTTCAACACTGGTCTGTGGCAAACTTCAAAAAACGACTTGAAATATGATTTTTTTAAAAACCAATTAATTTCAAGTTACTTTGTTTTTTGCCTTATACTTTGGTCAGACTACAGATTTGAAGTATAACTTGAAATTTCAAGTTCACTTGTTGCATTCATAAAAGATATTTGCTTTCTCAAGAAGTCTTTTGAAGTCTAACATACATTTTTTTGCGTTTACTCAAATCAAACTTCAGATTTGAAGTATGACTTCAAATTTTTAGTTTGCCCCTTGCATTGCACCTCTGATTGTACAAAGTACGTTGCACTATTCACATTTAAAATATTGTAAACTTAACAATAAAAATGCAGAGGCGATTTTAGGGAAGGAAAGGGGGTTAAAAATTTCACACAACTCTGTTGAGTAAATTTTAGTTTTGAGGACTTTTTTTTTTTTTTTTAAGAAACCAGTCTATACATTTTAAAGATTCACAATCTACATTATACAATTAAGAGTTAAGACAATCGAAGTTATTAACTTTAAAATTGAGGTTTTAAAATTATAAATAAGTGCACTGAAATGACTGTACAGAGTAGGAGTATTGCTCTCAGAGTAGGAGCATCGCTTAAATTTAAAGTTATAAAAAGAAACCACTTACTAGCGTAAACAAATTATTTTCAGAAGTTCTAATGGCAACCACTGGCGATTGTCATGCGACCTCCGTTCCTGGTCGCGACCCACCGGTTGGGAACCGCTGAACTAGAAGATCTTTTACTAAGATCTCCCCGTTTATTAAATCTTGAAAAAAATTCTCCTGCACCAACCAAATTAGAACTAGTTATTTATTAATTTTCAATAAATATAGTTTGGCTAAAGCTTGTGCTTAATTAACATTTTAAGTAGATTGAATGTGATAAGTAGGCTGGATGATGTAAGTAGGTTGTTTGACGCAAAATAAAAATTATTGTATGAAACTTATCAAATACTTTCAAAAGAAGAAGAAAAAAAGATGTCTTAATAAATCTTAAAGAATGAGGAGATAACAACCTACTATATTCTCCTTACAGAGGTTACCTCTGGCTTAAGTTTTTTACAATCCGAGTTGGCCTAACGTTTTTAAGGTCAGTACAGTATTAAATGTTTTGTTAATAGTTTCAGCCACATAAGCAATTTATTACCGTTATACATGATAATAAATTGCTTATGCGGCTAAAACTATTTTTTTATAACATCAATATAGTTTTTATAGCATATTTTAGTATGAACTCATTTTTAACAATATTTTGGTTTAACACATTGTTGCATAATACCATGCGATGAGTTTTATATAAAATTAGAAATAGTTGATACAGTTAATAAAAACCATTTAGTTCAAATTAGGCTCAGTCAAAAAGGAATTTTTTTTACTATTTAGTTTATTTATTGTTCTTTGAAAATTTTTAAAGACAAAAATAACATCTATTTATCACAAAGATTTTTCGAAACCATCTATTAAAAAACAAAAAATGATTAGTATCAAAAACAATAGATACATAGTATCAAAAAATTATAAAAAAAAAGGTCTAAGCTGAACTATTTTAGGCACGTACAAATATATATTACTTTAAATATTATATATTTCTAACTATCAAATAAAGTTTTGGTACATTATCGGCTCATAAACACCTGTTACATTAGCTGGAGCCTTTAGAATACTGATTTTATTTTAAAGATTTGATCTTATAGGCCAATACTCCTAATTAAATTTCATAACCACTACTTCTAAATATTTTAAGCCCCTTTAAAAGTCATTTACAAAAAATTTATTTTTATAAAAAAAAAAAATAAAAAAAAATAAAAAAAAAAACTAGCAATTTTTATTATGTAAAATTTTAAACAATTTTTTAAAGCTTGTTTTAAATTAAACAATATCAAACTGCAATAATGTTTTTCATTATAAATTGTTATCTGTTTAAAGTCAAAAACAGTCAGGTTAAAACGAGATATCGACTGCAAGCAAATATGTAAACAAACAAAAGCAACCTCATTACCAAACTCCATAATACTGTCTAAATTGAAAAGCTAAATCAAACTTAGCTTTTGATTTTGATTTCGTGAAAATTTTGGTGCCAAAAAATTTTTAATTTAATATTTATTTTTATGTAAAACTCAAATAGTTTCGAGACATATTTAAATATTGTGCGTGCGCTATATATCTTCAAAGGATTAGTTTTGAAGTTGTTACAATGATATGAAACATGCGTTTGTGAGTTCCGTACTTTCAAGCGTATAGAAACACAATACGCATGAACGTATTGAACCTAAAAGAAAATATCCTGGGTGAGCCCTCCACTGAGGTAATACAAAGTAAAACAAAAGTAAAATAATACCTCGTGAGCTGGACAGTCAAAAATTTTAATCTTTATTTTTATTTAGAGGGAACAATAAAAAAGGTCATTGTACACTTGATTTTTTAATACTTATTGTATGGAGATTGTTTTTATCAATCAAAGTTTATAAAGAAAAACATCTTGCGTAAGAGCTTGCAACTTTTTATTGTTTAGATGCAATGCAACGCAGAGAAAATTGCGATTGTAATTTTTTTTAATGAGAAAAACCAACACGTTTTCAGGAAACTTTGAAATCAGATATTTGTTCTTTAAATAATTAATTTTTACCTACTTTCAACATTCACGAGTTTCTGATACCATTTTAGTTTAATATTAAATAAAGGAAAGTATTGCAAATTTCAAGCTCCGTTTGTTTAAATATACAATTTTACAAGAAACGAGATCTAAAGAATTATTATGTAACGTAGTAAAAATCATAATTTATCACCAATGCTTGTATGGAGAGTATACAAAACAACATATGTCGGTAAACGTGAATTTGGAAAAAATATCGAATTTGCCATGGATAACTTTCATACTTTTGCTAATCTGTTCCGCCAGAGGTATATGAATAAATAAAGATAAATGATTACATTAAACTATAAAATACCACCATGCATATATCTATATATATATATATATATATATATATATATATATATATATATATATATATATCTTTTATTTTTTTAAGCTTTTTCAATGAAACCATCATCAGGCGATTGGACGTGCAATGCAAATTTAATACTTTCAAATCGTACCTTAAGTGGTGGAATTCAAGCCGGTCAATTTAAAAAAGTTGGAGAAGTTCTAGGTATGTCTGAATGCATAAAATACTGTTGCGACGATGAAAAATGTAACGTAGCTTTAATGGCTAAAAGTAACTGTTACTTAGTGAGCTGTAACAATGATGCGTTATGTCAGCCAGTTCCGGCACAGTCAACAGATTTTAGTCCTAGTCTTTCATTTGTGCAGCATAAGAAACAAAACCAAAAGAAGTTAGTTTTGCCTGAATTACATACTTTTTTAACTGAACCGGAAAGACCTTTATCCAGAATTCATTCTCAAAATAATATTAATGAAATTTTATACCCTTTTGATAAAAAGAATGTTGACTATAATAATAGACTTAAAGGGCTTTCAATGAATCATGCTATGATGATATTAAATGACACTAGTAATCAAAAAGTGATTGCTGATGGATGTTTTCAATCTACTATATATAGATCAGTATCTTTGCTTTACGGACCTAACTCTGGTGACTTTTTTGATTATGGCAAAATAGGAGACATGCGGCAGTGTGTCAACCTTTGTTGTAAAGATAGACAATGCAATGTTGCTTTTATGGTAGATACAACATGTTATACAGTTTCGTGTTACACTTTAGAAAAGTGTGTCATGGTTCCAGCATCAAAAACAGCTAAATTGACTTCTCAGCTTGCATACGTTATAAAAAAAACAGATGTAAACAGACAGGAGAAGTTAAAAATTTCAAAAGAACACGAGCGTTTTCTTATTGAAAAGCGAAAAGAAACCGAGCATCGTCAAAAAATTAAGGAAAAAAATTGGCAACTTCACAAAAACAAGGACGAATATTTTGGGTCTTTAAATAAAATATCTTTAATTGAAGAGTCTAATGTACCGGAAGGTTTAACTAAAAAATGCCGTCATAACAAAGTAATGACAAACCATGCAATGGTTGAAGGTCAAAAAGCAGGAGTTTATACGTTTCGTGGTGTAACACCCGGTTTTAATGCTTGCTTGGATTTATGCTGTGCAGATTTATTTTGTGATGCAGCATTTCTTTTGGGTAAAAGATGCTATTCAATACAATGCTATAAAAATAAACTATGCACAAGTAAACAAGCAAAATCCAAATCCGTTCGATCAATGCTTGCTTTTCTTGATAGGAATGATGATGGTTTAGATTCTAGTGAAAGTAAGTTTTTTTAATGTTAGTTACTAAATAAATCAATAAATAGCTTTATAAATAAATAGAAATGCCGTGCGTGAAAACGCTAACGAACGCTTTCTAAAGTAATGCAAAAAATCTTTTTTGTTTGGTCTTTTGTGAATTGCCCTCAATGAATGTAGTGACAATATTTCATTATCTCAGTGAGCAAAAGACGTGTTTTATACGTTTATAAAGCGTATTAATACTTTCAAAAACATGTTTTACACAACTTAAACACGTCTTGTGTCCACTAATATGAATAAAGAACACAAACATTAAATCTCAATAAATTATTCAATCGTTTTTCGCATTCAAAAGTGTTATTTAAAATACGAAAGCTTTTAACCCAAATTTATATAATATAGCTTTATATTTTTGAAACTTTAACAACAAAAAAATGATTTTGAGAAAACTTGCTACAGTTATTAATTAATTAGACTAATGACTCCTAATTATTTATTACCAAAAGCAAATGGCATTGCCGAATCAGAGAAGTTGTATGTTTTTATGTTTTTGTTCATTTTTTTTTTTGTTAAAATATTTATTTTTGTTCTTGATTATTTTTTATTTTTGCTTAATTCTATTCCTTTATGGGTTTGTTTTATATACGCGGTCGCTTTTCTTGTTTTGACCAATCTATATAAGAACTGATAGGTATTAGTCGAGAAAGTTTGAATTTTTTTTTTTGAAATTTTGTATGATGTTTGCTAGTAAATATATTGTTGCTAAATGTAATGGCGTAGGAAGGCCAAAGTTGAGGGGGCTGAAGTGGAAATTAAAAAGGGCTAAGGCATCCAGAATCTGAATTTGAATGGTAAAAATAGAAATTTTCCAAAAGTTGGGGGGAGGGGTTATTGCTTCCTCCGCCCCCTGTACCTAAGCCAGCAGCTTATTGTCATTGTCATTGTCAAAATATAAATTAAACTGCTTTTAAAACATTACTAGAATTTTTTATAATAAATTTATGCATTTAAGAGATATCAAAATACAAAAAGTTAAAAACACTTCTTTTGTTAGTTGCTACAAAAAATTAGTTGGCAATTTCAACCCTTCAAAATCTAAATTAAACTAATACTAGTACACTTAAGCAACATCAAATGTCTAATACAAGTCTGTTTTCACGTAGCTTACAAATATTTTCTCCGTGTATTAGTTTAAAAACAACATAGCTGGAAATATGCATAAAAGAATTGCCTTCAAAAGTAAAAACATGTACATTATCTGGTGTCATTAGTTCAGAAAAATCATCAAATAAATTATCTGTTCAGAAAAATCATCAAACCTAATAAAAACCTTCAGTTTTAAAATCAATCTCCTTAAGAATCGTCTGTAGATGCAATTGCATTTGATACAATTAAAATTGCAACTTTAACTCTAATCTTTTTTATCAGGAAAAACAAAAATTCCAGATGGCTTGCGTTTCAAAATAAGCCTGGAAGTCATTTTCTTCACCTCCCTCACACCTAAATAGAATTTCACCAACAAAATGCTTAAATAGTTACTTCTTTGCGGCGTTAATTACTTTTACTGCGAAATAATCATGTTTCCACCATAGGTGGAGAAGTGCGAACAAGGCCAACCGCAGTATCATCGGAAATAGATCAACCGTAGTCGGAAATATTTTAATCGATTTTTTCTGAATCTTGTAATTCATCTTCTTTGGAAAAGTTTAAATCCATAACTAAAGGCTTCAAAGTTTTCCCGATTGGCTTTTTTGTAGAATTTCCAATATACCTAACAAGTTTTCCAAAAAAAAAAAAAAATACTTGTATCCAACTACTATTTTTTTACGTGTCAATGATGTGAAACATGTCAGTGGCTCACATATTGATACGTAGTAAGCATAAGATAGTATGGCCTCATAATGAGGTTTTGAGGTTTTAAAAAACGCAGACCAAATATGTTTAGGGTGGCCATTGTCCCGGTTTATACGTTGGAGAATGCAGCGCCAAATTAATTAAAATTAGTTTAGATACGTAATAATGTGCCCCAATCTTACATTGGGGCACATTAATACGTATCAAGGTAAGCAGAAGATACTATGGCTTAAAATGAGGTTTTGAATTTTTAAAAAAACGCAGATCAGATATCATACTAATTATTATAATAAAATTTTGGGGCCTTCTGTTAGTGCAGCCGTGGCGCAGTGGTAAGAGCGCACGCTTTATAAGCAAGAGATCCAGGTTCGAAACGAGCATTTTGACATATTTTCGAAACGAGCATTTTGACATATTTTCGCGTCACGGTAAGGAAGGAGGCGTGAACATCCTGGTTAAATGCACTTCTACGGTGCTCTGCGACATGACCGTAAGTTCTTCTTGGGGCACCTAAATAACAAAAAAAAAAAAAAGTGTGGGTTATCTGGCAAGTATAGCGTTGATAACTGTGATTAAAGTACTTTCGTTAAAATAAAAAATCTTTTAACAAAGAAGTGTACTTAACGTTTTACACACTTCTCAAAAAACGTGACAAATAAAACACACTTAAAGAAAACACCAAAAATTGTGTGTCTGAAGCATGTCGATGCTTGATCAGTTTGTATCGACAATTGAACTCTGTTACAACTGTGTTTTCCTATTCGTTCCTACAAACACTGAAAGTTTTGTGTGTGAGTTATTCATATAGTGTACATTGTTTTTATGTAATACCTACTGTATCTATGTGTCTGATGTATCAATGTGCCCTAACTCCCTTTACTGCCATGTTTTTTTCAAAATGATGTTTAATAAACAAATTGAATTTAATTTTTTGTACAGTTGTCAAATATATTAAAAACATTCATTACATTCGGGATCATCTTTTAAATCAGAAAAAAAAACAAAAACATTTTAAACCGGCAACCGACAAAATTGTTTCAAAAGATCTTCATTATCAAATAGAATGTAGAGTTTTTTTTTGTAGAATTATACCGATGTAAAATAAATAGTTTTAAATTGCCACCAAATAAGGCATTTAACTAAAGTGACCAGACGTATTCTTTTTTCGTAGTCTCTGACTACGTTTGCCAAGCTACAGGACAGACAATCATACTAGAATTTAATCATGGCGGCAAACGTCAAAATTAAGAACTAAATATAATTTACAACTAGAAGTTGTAAAAACAGCGCGCGCTCTTTTGTAAAAAAGTAAAGTCTGGTAATCTTAATTAAACATATAGCTATTAGCAGTGGCGTATGAATGTTTTTAAATGTTTGAAATAACCAACTTATAAACAACAAAAACATTCCAAATTTTTTACGTGCACATGTATGACAAAAGAGTCTTTTAAAAAAAAAAAATTACAGTGATAGGAGAATGGGAACAAGAAACCCTAAATTTTTAGCCCCCATCCTGCCCCGAACGTGAGAGCAATAAGTTGATGAAATATTTTTTGAACTATTTTTTATTCCTCTATGAAAATAAGTCTAGTTAAAAGTAGTACAAAAAATATTTCATCAACTTGTTGCTCTCACGTTTGGGGCAGGCGGGGGGTCAAGGTTATTGTTCCCGCAGTAATTTTTTTTTTTTAAAGAATCTTTCCGTCATACATATTAGGGGTGCACCGATACCTCAACATCGGCAGACCGATGCCGATGTATCGGCCGTATTTAGCCGATGGATCGGCATCGGTATCGACCTTGATCACCATCGGCCGATGCCGATTGTTTTAAAAACTTTTTTAATTTAATAAATTCCTATTAAATAAAACTTATTAAATTCAAGACCTTTTTTATATACAAAACATTTTACATTTTACACAGAAAAAAATCTTTACAAAAATTATTCAAAATGTACTGTAAATTAATATAGTATTTGTAAAATCAAGATATAGATAAAATATTGGATTATAATAGTACGATATAGGATCTTGTTTCCTTAATTGTACCGATAGCATATTTTTTAAAATTTGGTTCCCTATCAAATACCAAAGTTTAAATTTTGACATATTTCGACTTTTTTAGAACAGTTGCTCTCCAAATTATTAACTACATTAAAGTCTCATTGTTTCTATTTTGTATTTTTTCTCTATTTTTGACTTTATTCTTAGAGGGTACAATATCAGCAACCTTACCCTAAATGCAATGTATAAGCCTTACTTATTAATAATAAGTTTTATATATGCATATATGCAACCACTAAACTAAAAAATTTTGAACTTATTTTAACAGGGTTCCCTACTTTGCAAGTGTTTTCTTATAATTTAAAAGAAATTTTCTATTAAATAATAAATTATATAGAGAAAATTGCATTAAACAAAACTTTTTTTGAAACTCTTTCTGTTATTCTTTACAATCAAAATGTTTCATTACATTTATATCAAAATTAAATAATAAAAAGTTTATTATTGAATTAAAAGCGTTTAATAAATAAACATTTAATATAAGTATTGTTTTATAATTTAATTTCGTAAAAACATTTGCTAAAAACTAGCCAATTATTAGAAGTAACAACATCAAAATCTTCCATTTATTCTTTAAAAAAAACGAAATCATTTTAATTAAACAAAATGACAAAAATATTTAAATATTTATAAAACAAGCTTTTTAATTGAAGTAATTGCTCAAATTATCTAGAAAACTAAAAAAAATGAATGGAAAATAAACTTTAACAGTAACAATTTTAAAATATTGCTTTCATTGTCACAAGAATGGAAGGTGGCATTTCCATTCAAGTGTATATTTCCATCATATATCTAATATCAGGACCTGTACCCATTGGCATCTGCCAAAAGTAGGCATCGGTGCACCCCTAATACATATGATCGTAAAAAAATTTGGAATGTTCTTGTTGTTTATAAGTTGGTTATTTCAAACATTTAAAAACCTTCATACGCCACTGGCTATTAGTCTATCAATGACTATTGTCTAAAATCAAATCTTGCTTTGTTCTTAGACAATTCATTACTATGACTATTCAATAGTCATAATATGATTACATTGTGTATGTAGTGTGGTTACAAATAGTATGGTTACAAAGTGCCAATAGTTTATTAGACTCTACTATTGGTACTTTGTAACCATAATTTTTAATAATCTTAACGATTTTTATATTAAGATCATTTAGATGGATTACAGTCATTTTTTACTAAAATCGCTGCAGCAACATCTTAATATTAAAGAAATAATCATAAATATTTATACTATGTTCCCTTCCTCATCAGGATTATTTTTTGACATGCCACTCAAACAAACATCTTTATATGACCATTTTCCATTTACAAAAATTTCATCTAGAAGTAGAACAACAATTCACTGGTATTCTTTCAATAAATTAGTGGATAGCAATAGACAATTTTCAATGGTAATTTGGCAACAACAAAGCATCGTCATATACCATGTTGTAAGCAGATGGTGACAAGTATTTTAAATGAAAACTAAAAGCCAGTGTATCAGGGCTATACTAAGTTTTAGAAATAAAATAGTTTTACTTGTAATAAAAAAAGCTAAACCTTTATCAATATTCGTAAAAAATTTTTAACTGCCTATAACTTACTATGTAAATAATCTATTAGGTTATTTAAATTACATTGAATTGTTAAAATATAATTGGAAAAATACTTTTTTCTACCAGGAAAAAATGTGTTAATATAGCAGATAGAGTCTAATAAGACAGACATTCATTGTTAAGTAGCTTAACCACAAAGTTGCTCTTCAAATTGATAGCTAAAACTCAAGGTTTTTAAGTAACTTTAGGTTGTAAATCATTGTAAACTTTTAAAGATAGTAAGATGGCGGTTTTATCTATATAAAGATTATTTTATAGTTTTATCATCAATCATGCAATTAGAAATATAGTTAAGTTACAAAGTAAGTTAAGTAATAATTTTAATGGAAAACTCATCAAAACTGTCAATTTTGTCCATTTCTACTTATTTCTCAAACTTTTTCTCATCCCAAGTATAAAAATCTGCATGACAACAATCTGGATTTTAGCTTTTGGTGAGTGGTTTACTTGATAAATAAGGAGGAATGTTTGGAAATAATGATGTTCAAGCATCTGGTTTCTCTGCCTTTTTAGTCTTTTTCTCCCAACACATATTAATGAACCATGTTGTGTTTATTGTATCTGCACAAACAATATATGATGAAATTAAATGTTTTTCTAACAAAACAGTTTTATTTGAAGGAGTTAAACTTTTTCAAAGAATTTGATGAATCCACAGGTCTATCATCTCTAGATTTGTTAGGAATTTAAAAACACTAACTCGTATAGATGGTCAATTAATGCTGAATAGTTTCCTCTACAGCTTGTAACATTATTAAGGTATTTTAAAATCTTTAAAGTATTTGTAAAATAATTTATGTAGTGAATATAAAATTTGTTGATTTTATGACATGATTATTTCGATTGTTATAAAAATGTTTCAATATTGTTCAATATTGTATAAATTTATTATTTTAACATTATACAATTATCTAAAAAAAGTTTTTTTACTGTTAATTTTGTTTAAGAAAAAAAAATTCTACATTAAATTTAAATATACTAAATAAAGTAAAATGGATACTGAATATCTTTATAAACTACATGAATCAAATGAAACATCAAAAAATCATTATTTTAAGGTTGTTTTTTATATTAAATTTTATTGTTGTTTTAACATTTTAATTTTGTCTTGTATGTTTCTTAATAGTTATTTTATAATTAAACTATTTATATAATTTTTATTTATTAGTATTTATTATAAATAGTTTTTTTTTTAATTTGTTATAGAAAGAACTGCAATACCAAAAATACTACCAACAGGTATATTTCTCAAACTTTTTTAAGTATTATTAGTTTTCTTTTCAAAATTATTCTTACTAGTATTGTTTATTAAAATGTAGTTATTTCTTTGAAAATTACTTGTAATAATTTTCTGTAGTAGAAAAACTAAACTTAGAGTATTGACAAGATTTACAATAAAAAAAATATTCAAAATTATTTTAATTTTGTTTGCAAAAGTTTGCTCAAACACTTGAATTTTTAGATTAAACAATTTATACTATAACTTATTATAATTTTAATATTATAAAAACATTTTATTTAAATTTATTTAGATCGTCAATACAAAGTTTACTTGAATGTCACAAATGATGAATATAAAGTTGGAATGAAAGATACAGAGTCATTAGAGTTTTTAAATTTTGCTGAGATTCTGCATGGAATGGTATTTAGTTTATTTTAAGACAGAATTTTTTTATTTATTACTGTATAAATTTTAATTTTAGTGTAAAATTATTTCAAATTTTTATTATGCTTTATTTATATTTCAGGAATAAAAAGTTATTAAATATTTAATATCCTATTTCTATCTCTTACATCTTAGACACAACCATCAACCAAGACTGATCCATAACAACAACCATAACAAAATTTTCCATCTGATCATTATTTACTATGTTCTTTTCAGACAGTAAACATCATTTACCTTTATTTCTCATGTTACACTGCCATACATCATACATCAGGCCTGTCATTTTTAAAAATCTTTAATGATGCTTTCTTGTTAAAAGAGGAGGTAGTTCTTTGCACTTTGCCTAGTCACATCTTACTCATCCCTTAGATGTCAGTTCCACCAGTTGATTTAATTATATCGAACAAAACAAAGCTTATGTATTTTATGTAACAAGATTTACCAACATTTTCACCACTGTTTTAATCAAATTTATATCTCGGAGATAACAAAACTTTCTCTTTTCACAAAAATTATACAAATGATCATCAATTTTGTTTCTGATTTAAAAAAATTTAAAATGTTTTTTTTTTTTTAGCTTACAGACTTATATGGTGATGTTGAAGGATTTAAATTTGTAGAAGTCATTGATGTCAAGTAATTATTTTTTGGTTATGATTTTTATATAGTTTTAACATTGTTTATATCTAATGAATTGTTTATTAAATGAATTCTATTATATAAAATGAGGGGTTAGAGGGTTTTTTCAAGTAGAAAAAATAAAAAAATATAGCTACTCTTGCTATAAATAATTGCTTTAATGTAAAAAAATTATGTAGCAAAAGTTGTTGAGTATAATCAACATATTTGAAACCTAAATATCTTTTAAGCTGTTAGGAGTACCTAGATATCTTTTAAGCTGTTAGGATACTCAAAAGTTCAGGTTTTTTCTAACTTTCATAAACCATTTAAAATAAATATGTTAACAAAATTCAAAACGTAGATTAACATATATCTGCTGTTTTGACATAGAATGTAGGAGGAGGATGCAGACTTTTTTTAGTTAACCTCAAACATATACCGATCAAAATGTAATTTTTTAATATTTGTTTTAAATTACAGATGTTTAAAATTTTTACTGTTATATATTTTCTGTTATATATTTTGTTACTTATTTATGTTTTTGTAGGCCTCAACCGCTGATAACTGAATTTAATTTGACGGTTGACCAAAATACAAGTCCGAAGTTGTTACTGCAGAAAATAGTCAGTGTTTTACGGAAGGGGGAACTTAAGTCTCTCAGTGAGCCATTATCTGAAAGGCTATCTATTGATGTTCGGGGTTTTCAGTTTTTAAACCCAGATGGTGATTTTTGTTTTGTTTTTTTATCTATTTATTTTTAATTTTACTTGCTGTTTATCTTACTGAATGAAAAGGCTCTCTTTAGGAGATAATCTTGTATGCCAACCAGAGTTTAATTATGAAGTGCATTGGCCACTTGGAGTTTTTGATACTTTTGTTAGCATTCCTTGTCCAAGAAAAGCAAATGGTATATTTTTTTATTTTATTTTTTTTTTTTTAAATATGCTTTTCTTATATATATATATATATATATATATATATATATATATATATATATATATATATATATATATATATATATATATATATATATATATATATATATATATATATATATATATTTGTTTTTTTTTTTCTTCTTTTTCTGAAAATGCTGTATGCAAAACTAGTGAGCAAATGCTTATCTAAATACGCTATAGAAGATAAATTTATTTAATCTTTTCTAAGAATTTATTTAAATTAAAAAGTTTAGAAATATTAATTTAGAAAAAACACAATTTAAAGAAGTTATTAAAAAAAATTTTTTTAATAGTTTACTTTTTTATTTTTGTTAAAAAATAGTTTTTAAGCATTAAGATTTAAAACAATAATTTATATTTAATAAAATGATATATTTTAAATGATACAAAAAATTTCTATTATTATTAATTAAAAGTTTTATACTTACTCAATGCAACTAAGGCATGGTACATATTTTTCCGAACAAAAATATAAGTTTTTTCAATTACATAATATATGTAAGTTAATAATATATGTAAGTTTTTTCATCAAAAAGTATGACATATTTGGTATGTATGGAAAGATTATTTTAACCACTATTATAATCTGGTAAAAATATTGCAACTATAACAAGTCATCAAGCGTAGTTTTATTTAGAAAAGATGTAATTTTCAACATAAAGTACCTTGGGGTTTAGCTATAGATAAGTCTATGGATTTGATTTTTTCATGCAAGCATGTATTGGTGTTTGTTTTCAATGAATGTAACTTGACATTTATAATCAGACATTATTTGGGAAAATTATCCTTGAAAAACCATTTTTTTATAAAAATTAAAGTTATTATTTTTAATACCACATCTATATGAGTATGTTTAACAATAATGTCATGTTAAATTCAGATAATTTTTGGTAGTGTTAATTTTTTTACAAAAGTTGTTTTTGCATAAATAATCATAACTTTTAGACCCATTCAAAAACTGTTTTTTGGTATTTACTATCATTTTTTGAAATACTCGGGACTTATTTGGCGGTAAACTTTATAAACAAATTACTTTCATTTTTAAACTTGTTTTGTTTTTATATCAGTAGTAAACTTTAATGTAATGTTTTTTTTTATTTTTATAAGGATAATTTAAAAGTAACATAAGTTACTTTTAACTTTTAAATTATTGTTATAAAAACAATTAAATCTTTAAACACTAACTTGATACAAATGGCTTCAGTAATGTATTATGGCTTCATTCAAATGGCTTCATTATGGCTTCATTATGGCTTTAGTAATGTATTAAGATAAATACTTTTGTTGATAGCACAGCGCAAAAGGAATTATATATTACATAGTTCATTCCAACTGCTTTAAAAAGTAGCAAATTTTTTTTAAATATACTAAAACAAATGTAATAAATTGTAATTAGGTTCAAGATATTTATATTGATAATTGCAAAACTGTTATAACAGGCGCTTGGATTGTTTATAATGTTTTGCCATTATTTACGAATTCTTTGTTTGCATAAATTAAGTAAAATAAATAAATAAAAGTTGTTCGGTTTGCCACTAACAACCAATCGGATTTGTTTAAAATTATCGGCTATTTTTTTACAAGTTTGTTTGTTCTATGCCTTAGTTGCATAAAGTATGATTGACTTTTTTTTTTATTTTTCCAAATCAAAATGTTTTATTTGATTTTATGATTGAAAAAAGAAAACCCATACATTTCATTCAGTTCTCATTCTATTTGACCAAAGTTTGTCCTATTTGTTTTTTTAACAATTGTGAAGTAACAGTAACAAAGTAACAGTAACAGTAACAAAGTAACAGTTGTTAACAGTAACAGTTGTTAACAGTAACAGTTGTTAACAGTAACAGTTGTTAACAGTAACAGTTGTAACAGTAGCAAAGAAAATTTTTAAATAAATTTATGGGAAAAACCCATTTCAATAAAATATAAATAAAATAAATAAAAATAAAATTTGCAATAGATTACTAGATTAAGAGTTTTGAAAAATATTTTGTTGTTATTTAATGGAAAATAAAAAGTTGTTAAATAAAAAAATATTATATAAAATTATTAAATAAAAAAAAAAAATAAAAAAAAATACATATAAAAAAAAGTTAAAAAATGTTAAAAATGCAAAAAACTAGTTTTTGAAAAGATTTACAAAACATTTAACCATCTGAATGATTTGAACACAATGACAAAAAACATCTTTGTATGTATCAACTCATGTATGTCTTTTTAAATTCTAACAGTGAGCGGGTGACTAGGAAAATGTTGAGACTACTATGACAAAACACTACTATGACACAATGACAAAAAACATCTTTTTTAAACTTGTCACAAATCAATTTGGCCTTGAATATCACTATTTATATTCAAGCATTCAAAATTTTCACCAAAAAGAATTTGTACCTCAACTTGAACTCAAATCAATAAAACATCAACAATTTACTCAAGGAGTGAAGTATCAAAAATGAGATTTATAAAATTAGAGCTCATTGCCTAGTTGCTCAACCTCAACTTAAACTCATGTATGTCTTTTTAAATTCCAGCAGCGAGCGGGTGACCAAGAAAATGTTGAGACTACTAATCTCAACTGGTCTTCAAAAATCATTAAAGTTCATGGAACTCCAACACTTGGAGATTAGAGTCCAATTCGGGTACAAATTTAGGCCTTAAATAGAAATTCAATGATTGCATTTTTTTAAACAAATAAAGATATTCCCATTGAAATATAAACTTATAAGTCATATAACACACTTAAGAAAAAAAAAAGTTATATTATTTGAATAGTCTAATAATTAAATTTGCTTAAGAAGCAGAAACTTACGATTTTTTTGTTGAAAATAAAACAATACAATTTTTTTTTTTAGTGTTAAAGAATAGTTTGTTTTTTTGTTTTAACTTATTTTAAATTATTTAATGTTAAACAGTTTCTATTTCGTAAGGAATTCTTAATATTTTTAAATTTTAAAGATTTTGAACATAATTATTCTTATATTTTTGTTTTTTCTTGATTGTATTACAAGTTTTTGATTTTTCTTTATTGTATTTAAAAAATTCTAATTTGTGAAGATAGAAAAATGATCAGTTAAATTATCTTATTAAAAGCCTGATTTAAACTCATATTGCAAAAAATGTTTGTAAATTTATTATCAATTGCAGTATCAATGCAAGGTTTGTGTTACTTCTTGTTAGTTTATTAAAGACATTGCTGTAACAGCAAAGAGATTGTAAAATTTGTCCAAAAATTTTTTTTGAAATAGTAAAATATTTATGGCTTTTAATATTTTTATTTATTTAATTAAAAATAATTGTTTTCGCTGGATTTTTTTTAAGTTGTTAATAAAAGTGATATTTGAAGATACATCTCACAATATATTCTTTGAAATAAAAGTTTTATTATTGAAATATATATAGGTGTGAAACTATGAAGTGCCATAAAAATAAATAATAAAAAATGTTTCACAATAACAACAGTTTTGAAATAAAAAAAATACAAATTCATAATAGTATTATAATAGTATTCATAATAATATTCATAATAGTATTATAAGGCGTAAGATTAAATCATAACAGTTATAAATCTGTATATTAATCGAACCAGATTGGTTTTTGCAGATTGAAAAATAACCTCAGTAATAATTGGAATAAAAAATAAAATAGAAAATTAATAAAATAATAATTAGAAGTATTATAAAAAATATAAGATATGTATATATATATATATATATATATATATATATATATATATATATATATATATATATATATATATATATATATATATATATAAACTGTAAAAAAAATGTAAAAATTATTAAAAAAAAAGTTTTTTTTGTCAATATCGATAGCAATTATTTTGAATATTTTCAATTGTAATTATAAATGTTTTATCAATTTTTAAATTATCAGGTTTAACAACACGCAGTTGCAGTTCTGGCAAATCAGGTTCAGCATTCTGGAAAATACCTAACTTTAGTGATTGTGTAACAGATAAATATGAGTCGCTTTTAAAAGAGGTTTGTTTTAATTTTTAAATTTTGTGAGCATATAATTAACATATAGAATTACCACATATTAACATATATTAGCATATATTATACCACATTAAAAAAAAAAATTTCATTTAAAATTAATTTAATTAATAAAAGGTTCAACTTCTTTCGTCAACATCTATTCACACTCCAGATTTGACAACAGCCTCCATAATTGATAGGCTCCTTCAACATACAGTAGAAGATACTTATGGTAGTAAACCTCCTACATCATTTGGTACTGTTTTGAATTTGCAAAAAGATGATTCAACTAGTCTTGTTAGACCTAAGCAAAAAGTAAATAATGCAGAACCTGTTGCTAGTAAAGGAAGTATTCCAGAAGATCAATTAAAATCCTACTTGAAAAACATGGGCTTGTCTGCTTTGCTTAGCAAGTCTAACAAATTAGATCTTTTATCTTTATACAAAATGCTTTCTTCAGAAGTTAGCAGGGATGACAAGGCTAAAGCACAAAAAACACATGGTTCAAGTAGTATTAAGTATCCAAATCCAAAAATTGAAAAAGAATTTTATCCTGGTATGTCTTTTGAAACTTTTCCAGGAGTATCAGATGCAAAAAAATATAAAGGTATATCTGAACAATCAGAAATGATTGCTGGACATCACAAGGTTAATCCTCAAGAAATTGTAAATTCACATAAGCAAGTTACATTATGGAGTCCTCCAAAGCCTATTGGTGACATCGGTGCTGAATCTCCATTCATGCATCCAGAAAAAAAAAATCAGCCATTAAAAGAATCTAATGATATTTATAAACCTTCATCTTCACCTCATAACTTTTTTCATCATCCTGCTGTTATTGAACGCATTGACTATGAACCAAATATAAACCTTATACCTCCAAAAAAAATTCAAATCAATGATAACAGAGTACTTACGTCTGAAGATTTGATGAACCTTACACCAGAAGAGCTTCATGAAACAATAACTACAATGCAAAAGAATCAGTTAAAAAATGTAAAATATTCTAATGAAAAGCCTATGAAAAAGTCTGATAATTTGAACAACCTCGCTTCTTATTTTACAAACAACCAAATGCAACCAAATGGAATACCGATGTTTCAGAGTAGAAGAGATGAACCCAGTTATCCTCCTCTGGATGAAATAAATGTCTCCAATGTTTTTCAACATAGTATTAAAAAAAGACATTCAAAAGACACTAAATTTGATCATGTTTTATCATTAATAAAAAGAAAAATTATAGAAAACACTGAACATAAAAATTATTCCAAGTATAACCATCGTGTTAAACGAGATATTGATTCTTTTGTGTTAGAGTCATTAGGTGAGCCAGAATTACCTGATGGAATGACTAAGCTTTATGGAACAGCAACATTGACAGAAATACCACTTTCAAAGAATAGTTATGATGATTTTGGAGTTACCAGAAGTGAGTTTCCGATCATTGATAAATCTGTTGTCCAAAAGAAAGGTTCTAAAAAGTTATACAAATTGCCTTCAGCTAAGAAAAATTTTACCAGTTATAAAAAAACAATTGAAAAACCAATTATTGTTGACCTCCCAACAGGTCAAATTATTAACAATCATGCAAATAAGCCATCACATGAAAATTTTCTTTCACTCGAAAATATGAGCAATGAAAAAAATAAAGAAATCAAACTCAGTACTCTTCAAGTAAATGATAATAATAAAGTAACAAGTTCCAGCTCAGTTACTCTTCAACTTTCAAACCCAAACTCACTTTCTCCAGTAAACTCACTTTCTCCGGTTAATTTTGATAATCAAAAAAATAATTTTTCTATAAACTCTGTGAAACTAACTTCATCAGTAAACATAAAATGTACCCAAGGGCATAAAGATTGTGCAGAAAACAGCTCTAGTTTCCCTGAATCCAAAATAATAGAAGAAACACAAGTCAATGAATCTTTGCCAGTTTCTTCAGCAAAAGAACCCGAGCGTTTTACAACCCCAAAAACAACTTCAGCTGCTTTGAAACAAACAACAAAACAATCTACTACCATAAAAATAACAACACCAATGGTTCCTACAGCTGACCCTTACAAGCAAGAAATAGATGAAACTGACTTGCCTTCTAATATAATTTTAACAACTCTGCAGCCAATTGTAAACATTTCAAAAGCTTTGATTTCTATAACTGCATTAGAAACAAAGCACAAACCTGAGATCACCATTACTGTTTTAAATAAAACTGAGAGTGAGCCTATTAAACCAGTGGAAACACCAAAAATTAACAAAGAAGAAAGTGATTTAATTTTTTCATATGATAAAGATGATGGTGGAGACAGAGCTCCAATGTTTGGAGGAGACATTTTGATGACCATAAGTATTGCTGAAGAGATATTAAAGTATATGCAAGAACAGTTTTATCAGGCAACTCTTCAAGAAGTTGAGGTAGTAACATCTAAAAATTTTTTTTTTAAATTAAAATGTTATATTATTCAATATTTAAATTTATCAGTGAATAATAAAAAAATATATAAAATAAAAAAATAATGTAAGATATAATATAAAAAAGGTATAATATAAAATATAATAAGAAAAAGTAATATAAGATATAATAAGAAAAAAAGGTATGATAGTAGTAATTAAATTTTTTTCAGGAATTTTTGCAAGCTGCCAGTGCTTTGATTGATGAAAATAACGAAAATGAATGGAAAAATGCAATGAAAGTAAGTATTTAGTTTAAATAAAATACAATCAGTTTTTTTAAGTCTTTTTAGGTATGCTATTTAGGTAGGAAAAGTTTTCTTTCAGTTAGACCCTTCATTTTTGGTGAAGTAGTAATATTTCCTAAAAGGGACCCATAATTTGGTCCCGTTTAAGAACTTTTATGTGATTATAAAAAAGGATGTGATTACAAAAAAAGATGTGATTATTAAAAAGAATGTAGCAAACTGCAGTTATTGAATGTTGACAGCAGCTAGTCTTTATCAATACTTTAGAGGCTTGAGATAAGATACAAGCTTAGTGTCTCTTTCTTGTACTGCTTCAACGGTGTCAATGTTTCTGAAATAATATGGGTTCTATGTAAAAAAGAAAAACTCAAGATGTGGGCATAGATAAATTGTTTAGAAAGGAAATTTTATCCAAAAGTTGTTGATATCCTAATAGTAGAAAGTTCTTTTCAGCATACCTAGTGCAGTGTTAGCGTTGGTAACACTGCATTTGCATCTTGGTCTGGTTGTTTACAATGATACTGAGGTGGCGCTCAGAGTTGGTCTTGTCAAGCCAGTGTTTGTTACCACTAAGATATTTAATTTTCACCATAAATGACCATTAAGAAAAATATTAATTCATGGTGAAGATTATGTGCAATCCAGGTAGTTCATCAATAAAAGCAGTGTTAAAGCTGTTGTTAACTCTTTTATTGAAAAATATAACTTTGCACTTTTCTATGTTAGAACTTATGCAACAGGTGTTGGCTCATTTGACTAGGCATTTAAGGATCTCGAACCAATCTGAGAATTAGTCGTCATATATGAATCTTTGATTCTGGCCAATTAAGAAGGCTGCTATTCAGCTACAGGCGCTTTTGTCAAACCTATACATACAAGTGACTAACCTTATCAAAAGCTTTAGCCAAATTCAAAAAAATCACAACCTCTAAATGAGATTCGAATGCCTTTGAAATAATATTAAGGGTAGTAACAAGATAAACTATCAACAAAGAAGGTTTTGATAAAGTTGTAAAAATCTCAATTTTTTAAATTTTAGAAAAGTATTTATATAAACACTTTTTTAACTGTTTTTACTATTGACTTAATTTCAAGCAAATTATATATTTTTTTAAATAACCAAAAAACTATATTATGGTATCCCAAAAAGATTTAATAGAAATAAAGTATTATGCTTTTTAAATATATTAAATATATTGAACATTTTTTTATTTAGTTAAAAGAAGAAAAAGACATTTTAATGGGATTTGTAAGTACAGTTGAAACATATGGGAAAAGAACTTCACAGGTTTTTGTGCATTATAATGTGAAGCAGCCCATTATAACAAAAAATATAAGTTAGTATTGTTTAATTTATTTATTTAATTTTTATAAATATATTTCTCTGGTAGCAAAAATATATATAAATAAAAAGGCTTGACTAAAAAATAAAACAAAAAATGATCTAAGGGGTAATAATATAAATTTTTATTAGCATAAAATAGTTTTTGAATTATTTAAAAGTTTTATGGTTTCTTTAAGTCTGAAAAGTTCCACTTTTAGAGTTTTATGTTTTATTTTAAATTTTTAGATTTTATGTTTTATTTTAAGCCATAATATAATAAACAAGAGCAAGAAGCTTCAAGTGGGTGAAAATTGTGTCTCTACATACTTCAAGTGGGCTGAAGAATGTATCCCTACATTCCCCTATGATTTTTCTATAACAAAGAAAATTTCCTTTGCTATATATAGAAATATTTTAAAGCACACTTCACTTTTAAGCATAAACACTAGATATGTATTTTCCTATAATTTATATATTTTTTTACAATTGAGAATATTGATCTTTTGAAAATAGTAAAAAAAATGCAGATTCAGAAAAGTTTTTTAGTATTCTCATGCATTTAGCTAATCTGTTTAACAATTATGACAATATTTTTAAAACTATGTCAATAGTTTTCAATATTAAAACTGATTATCAACATCCTGATGCCCAATATCAACATCCTGATGCCCAGTCTGTTTATTTATGTTCTAAATGCCCAAACCACCTTAATCTTTTTGACTCAACGTAAATTATCTTATTGACTCATACTATTGAATCATACTATCATCCACTCACTATTCCAAATCTCCGTCTAAATCATTCACTGTTCCAATCTCTGTTTAAGATGGCGTATTTTATACAACACATATCTCTTAACATCGGAGCTAATTTCAAATCATGTTAGAGCAAGTCTTAAGTCAAGTCTCAACTGACTAAGATAAAGTCTCAAGTCAAGTCTCAAGTCACTCATTAACATGTCAAACCTTAAGTCAAGTCATATTAAAACCAAAGATTCCAGTGCCGGTGGTGGCTTCATTCAAGCAGTCAAATCACAATTATAAAATACAGCATGGACATGATATTGATTATAAGTTTATACTTTATTATATTAAAGTAATACTTCAAAGCTGAAAAAGTAAAATAAACCTTCTGTAATATAGTACATAAGAATACAGTGACATAAAACTACATAAGCTATTTAGTCTGTTTACTGAAATTCTCATTCTTTCATTCATTTTAAACAAAGATTTTTAGAAACAGTTATAATGATTTATCTGTGTTACATTTTAAAAACACTAACTGACAGTGTCAGAATGTAAACTTGCATGCTTAGGGTTCATAACCAGGCCATCCTGACTGAATTCTTCCACTGGAGCACTGCTTGCAGGCACCACAAAAACATACATGGCTACACTTTGGAGGATTGGTAAATTTTGCCCATGCACACGATCTCTCATGGTATTCTTTAAAAAAGTCTTTTCAAGGTCCAAAATGCATCTATCTTTTTTTCTATTTCAAAAATATCTTGAACTTGTTTTGTCAAAAGATACAATAAACATTGTATCTTTTGTTTACTTTACTGGCCTAAAATTAAACACCATGTTAGTAATAAATACACTGCTTTTTATATTGTTAGCAATTTTTTTGCTATTTTTATCATCATTATCTGGTCAAGCAACTTTATGCCTTGATATGAACCACATTCTGGTATGATTCTGCTACCTTTTTAAATCTTTTCATCTTTCCTTCCAACTATTTGAAATTTTACCTGCATATACTTTAACCACACAAGTGTGGAAATTGAACTTTATTAAAACCACACACGTATGGAAATTAAACTTTATTAAAACCACACAAGGACATTAAACTTCATTAAAAAAAAAAAGAAGAAAATGAAATTTAAACCAATTTAAGTTTCTATAAAATACAAACTTTCTTAGTAAGAAATATAGTAAATAAATTTGTCTTTAGGTTTTTCTTCATCCCATATTTACTCTTATTTTAGACCTTTTTGTGTCTTGACTTTTAATTAGAGCGTTTTAAATAAAGTAACCAATGTTTAATAATAATGATAATAATAATAAAAATTACAAATTAATTAAAATTACTAGTTACTCAAACCTTTTTATTTTTGCTCTTGTGTACAACAAAATTTATTTTGTATGAAATAAATTATTTGAATAATTAAAATTACAAAGCAAATAAATAAAAATAATAAAAAAACAAATAATAAAAAGAGTCATGAAAAAATTTTGTTACAGTTTTGCAAGTTCGAGTTGTCCTTGTTGAAGAACTGATGGAAAAAGCAAACAATGCAGTTGTTTTTCCAGAGTATCAAGATGAAAGATTAGCAAAGTGTTGTTCTGGAGTAGAAAAAATATCATTACCTGCATCTGTCATTATTGATAGATATGGTAATTTATTGTTTAGTTTTTAACCATAAATTTGATTTTTATTCATAAATTATTATTTTTTAACTATTTATTAAAATTATTTTTAGAGCGATCAAAGAGCATCACATTTGTGTTTTTCAAAGTGAAAAATATTGCATTTTTGCAGCGTACATCAAGAGAAAATGAAGATAGGTATTGATTATTTTTATTTAAAAATTTTTTTAATTTAATATAAAAGTATATTTTTCTAATAATATCAAGTTAATATAAAAACTAAAAGAATTTAATTTTAATAAATGAATTAAGTATAATTTTAAAAAATTAAATAAAAAGTTGTAATAAAACTATTGTTTTAAAAATTGCTGTTTTTACATTCACAAATAAATCATTTAAGTTACTTAATTTAAGTAATTAATAATAATTAATCAATTATGAACAACCAATTATGTTATTTGATGAACAGATAAAAAAAAAAGGTAATAATGGTAAATTATTTGTTAGAAGAAAAGAAAAAATTATTTAATTAGTTATTATTATATTTATTTTAAGTCTAATACCCATAATTCCACTCTTGTGTGGTTTGGATGGGTTTCCGTAATGCCATATTTAAATATGACATAACATAATAGTGGCAGCAGTTTCTTTTTTAACCGGATTTTTAAACCGGATTAACTCATATAATATTCAGCCTTGATCTATTTTGCAGATTAAGGCTAAATATTATATGAGTTCCTCAATCTCCTTCTTTTTCTATCCTTACCCACAATTTAGGGTTTTACATTAAAGTTGTTTTTTTTCTTTTATGTAAGTTGTTTTCACCATGGCTGAAGAAACTCACCTGCCTCAACCTCACTTCATACATGGAATTAGTTTAATGTCATGATCAGAACCTATAGATAAATCTTTTGATGTATGTGCACATTGCTGTATAACACCTGTAAAAATTTTACACCTGTAAAAATAAAAATAAGGAAAAGAAAACGAACAATGAAAAAATATATTTATTTATGCAAATTCTAACTCTATATAAAAACTCTCAGTCTATATAGAAACTCTCACTCTATATAGAAATATATTAAAGATTATTCTTTTTTTTTTGCAGTTTTGTTGAAAATTAAACAGTATAAATGTTTATTTTTATATCTTTTTCAAAATCAAAAATTACAGTTTTTTTTTTTTTTTTTTTTTTTTTTTTTGCATATAATTAAATGAATATAAATAAATAATTTTTGCATATATAACATTTTTATGGTTTTTTCTTTTTTTTAGATATATATAAATATTTTTTGTTACAATTTTTAGATTTTTGTTAAATGCCTATTTTAACTATTTAATTTTATAAAAAATTTTAGTGAAATCTCAAATGACAAATCTATCAAAGTTGCATCACAGCTTCTTTCTCTAAGTCTAAGCCCACCTCTTGAAGAAGAATTTAAAGAACCAGTGTCAATAACTTTTGCAAATGACGATGTAAAATTTCATAAATTATAATTTGTTTCATAGTATAATTATGTAATAGTATATCTTATACTTTGTTATCAATTTAAATATAAGTTTTGAAAATTGAAATTATATTATTGTTAAAAATAGTAACATATTGTTATTAAAAATTTTTAAAAGAGTTAAGATAATATGTTTGGTAAAAAGTATTTAATAATATTTATAAACTTAATAATATAAATTAGAACATAAAATAATATATTGAAAATAATGTAACTGAACTTGCTTCCCATATAATAACATTAATTAATAGTTACATTTATGTAACTAAAAATTAATGTTATTATATATATATATATATATATTTATATATATTATATATGTATTATATATAAATTATAGTTACATATATATATATTAATTTATAGTTAAATATAATATATATTATATACAACCCTCTGAATTGGGGTCAGCGTTAAGCAATGTTGACCTAACTGCCGACCTGAAAGTGTCTGAGATTGGCAAAAAATTGCCAACCTCATTTCTATGTTTTATGGTTAGACTTTTGTATCGAATAATTTTTGTTGACCTGATCCCGACCTCATGAAGATTAAGGTCGGTAAATTATTGCCGACCTCATTTTTCCTAATTCTGAGGGTTGTATATATGAATAATCATAATAAAATAAAAACACATTTTTTATTTTAACTATGTTAGCATTTTTATGTCAGCATTCTTTTATAAATATCAAGTCATTATTTGCAAGTTATTGTTTTATTTGAAACTCATTTGTTATCTTTTGTTGTTTTGGTATAGCTTTCTCAAGGTAACCTTCCACATGATTGTGCATATTGGAACTCAACTAGGTAAAAAATTTAAATTCTTTTTTTATAGATATATATACAAAGTTTTAAAGTGTCAATTCTAAAATGAAGTTATTTAATTCTAGAAATAGTTGGGAAGACAATGGTTGTGATGTTACTTTTACCAATGCTTCTATAACAACTTGTCAATGTTATCATTTGACTACATTTTCAGTACTTGTTGATACCTCTCGTCAGGTATGTTTTAATATTAATATAATATTTATGTTATATATATGTTATATGTTATGTATTATAAATATTAATATATATATATGTTATATATTAATATTTTATGTTTTAATATTAATAAAAAATTTTAATGATTGAATGTGTCAAAAAATGATTAATGTACTTTTTTAAAAGGTTTCTACGACAACAGAAATACCTGAAATCATATCAGAAACTCCTCCTCCTGAAGTTCAAATCAATAATGAAAAATCAGATGAGTTTGTAGATAAATTTATACCAGTTCATGTTGAAAGCTCAACCACTGCACCAACTACAACTACTGTTACAACAACAACAACACCTACAACAACAGCCACTGTAAAAACTACAACAACAAGTCAACCATCGTTTGGAAGTCAAAAACAAACAGGAAAAAATAAAAATTGGCTCATCATTATTTTGATTATTTTAATAGCTTTGCTTCTTTTAATTCTTTGCATATGTTGCATATGTATTTGCTACAGAAGAAGGTGAGATGTTTATATAGTTAATAAAAATTGTTTATAAAAATAATTTATTCAAATTTAATAAGATTGGTCTGCATTACTTTTTGGAGTAATTACTTTTGAATTGCTTTTTTTACAACTTTTTTTACATCATGACCTTATTCAAAGAGATCAAGCCTCTGCTATTTAAAAATAGATATTCAAGGAGATATATGCAGTAGTGGTGTAGTGGTAAAACACTCGCTTCATAAGCGAGAGATTCCGAGTTCGATCCCCACCACATTCCTGGTAGTACCGCGCTCAACTTGTTTCTCCGCGCAGCGGCCTTGTTCGTCAAGGTTCGTGTTTCGGAGTTATAGAGTTGAGAGGGGGTTATAACCACTATTAAGTAGCCTCCTCGTCTGTAGCAGCCTTCTCGGCCTTGAGGAGATGAATAACAAAAAATAAAAAAAAATAAAAAAAGATCAAGCCTCTGCTATTTAAATTCATATCAAATTATATGTATTCTAATAATAATTGTTGATATCTTGATATATTTACATGCAGTACTAGTATATTTTGATATATATTTACATGTAGAAAATAGAATACAGAAGTAATAGAATACTTATAATAGAAATATTAAAATAATTTGTTAAAGCTACCAAACTGGGCGACAGGTTTTCAAGTGTCTTGTCTATTTTTTCATGTCCTGTTAAGATTTAAGATGTTAGCAAAGTGCTTTGCATTGGCATAATATAATTGTAATTGGTTGTACACTTACCCAGTAGCTAAATAGCTAGTACCCAGTCGCTAAGAGGTTTTCTAGCTCAAAGCTAAAGTAAAATAACAAATTTTCCAACTTTCATTTCTATAAAATTAAATAAATGTAGCCTCCTCCTCCAGAAATCCCAACATAAGTATATACACAGCATTTGTTTATTTAAAAAATTCTATAGTATGAAAAATAATACATTTAAAATACAAACATTTAAAATATAAATATAATTAAAATTTATAATATAAAATATAATTTAAATTTAAAATATACTAAATGTATATTTTATACAAACATTAAAATACAAACATTTAAACTTTTTGTTTTATTTATTTCTTATTTAAAATACCCCTTGGTAAATTTTTCTTTTACAAATTTTTGTTATAATTGTTAACTTAAGTTCAACAAAAGAATTCTAAACAAATTACTGATGAGTTTTTTTATTATGCAATTATTTTTAGATTAAATAATTGACTGAAATAAGAAAATCAACTTTATCTTTGGCACTTTGGCTAAATTTTTACTTTGTTAAATCTTATCTGTCTATATTTTTATATTGTTTAAATGTTATGCCACCTTACCTTCTTAACTCAACCATATTATGATAAGTATATCATATTACACTGTCGATAACAAAAAAGTTGATAATTATATATAAATATAAAAGCTATCAACTTTTTTGTTATTAAGGATAAAAGTGAAATGTCTGTTTTGGCTTTGAGAATTGCCCCTCAACAACCAAAGATTTGTGTTTTAAGAATATAGGGTTGAAAAACAAGAAGTTGTTTCTTCTTTTACATTTAAGGATGTTACTTTAATGTAGCAGACATTCTAAGATACTATATTGAAGAATGATGACTTTCACTAAATGCTAATATGCTATTTAGTTTACCAAGTTTAACACGGTGCTACTATGAATATAGTTTGATTACATCTCAGAACCTCTCTTACATTAAACACACACTCTCTTTTTGATTATGAATGAAACAGCAAAAAATAAACTTTTTTAACATTAAAAAAAAATTTGTAAAACATTCAAACAGACTATAATGTTGGTGTAATAGCAACACTAAATTAAACAGTTCATTGTAAATTGTTTAACAGTAACAGTTCTAGATCTTTAAACACCTGTTTACTGTATTCAAGTTAAGAAAATCATTAAATTAATTAAAAATTACTTTTTTGTGTTTAGGAAAATTAAAAAGGAGGAGGAACCTGCAGGTAGTGATTTGTCAAGTGATAGTTAGCAAAATAATAAATTTTTAAATTTTGTATAATAAATAAAGTTTGAAAAACATTTGTTTGTGCAGTTGTTGAAGAAGATCAGCACCAAAGTAGCGAAGGAACTCGGAGTCTTCTTGATAAAGCTGATGAAGACGAGGTAAGCTAGATGTTTGCAATAAGTTGTATTTGAATTTGTATATTGTTATTATTACTAAATGTTTATTAAATTTATTTATTTATTTTTAATAAAACCTTTTTTTATATCTTATTGATATATTTAAAGTAATGCACTCAAAATGCAGGAAAAAACGGAAAACACAGTTATACAATTAATTACATATATCTGACATTTTAAATTATACTTTTAAGAAGAAAGCTTTTAAGGTTAGCAAGAGAAATATGAATAGCAAAAATAAAAGTTTATTGGAAGTTATTTATCAAAAACTAGCTAATACTAATGTATGTATAAATAATGTATTAGCAGCTTTCTCTAGTCTGTCTACCTGATAAGGGAAAGCATGAAAAAGATGGGAATTCATGTCTGCAAAAAAATCAAGGAATAATCAGTGAAATGGGGTTATATATTTGAAAAAACAGGAAGAACTCAGGGAAAATGGCAAAATACTTAAAGTTAATCTCTTTCCCTTTTCTACAAATATTATTGTGGTCGTTGTCCATCAAACATAATTAATTTTCCCCTGACTCGTCATTCAGTAAAGTTGCTTTTTTTTACTTTATCTGTCCCTCAATGGTCTAAAAACCTTTGTCTAGTTTCCTCCCCCCTCCCCATTTTTTCCCTTAGAAACTCTCTCCCATCTTCATGCTTTCCTAACTCATTAAATCTACAACTTTTCATGTCTTCTGTCAACTGTTTCTTTGCTCTTTAACATGCTTCTTTGTTTTCTATGATTAGTTAAGTATTATTTTGTATAATGGGTTTGAAAAATAAAGTGCTTTTTTTAATCAACTTAAAAGATAAAAAAAATTTCTTAACGTTTTCAATATTCTCTTTATCTGCAACTGGTATTTTAGCCAAAAAAATATAGCAGCTAATAAAATATTTCTAAGATTTCTAAGCTCAACAATAAGATCCAAGGCAGATTTTTCAAGAATTATAATTTTTTATGAATATAAAACTTAACTTTAAACTTAAGATAACTCTTCATCAAAGTGACTTTGACTTGTGACATCAAAATGTCTGCTGTATATCAAACAAGTTTTATTCGGCAGATTGATTTATGAACTTCTCTCGACACTTATGTGTATTGTGTTAATATTTATAATATTATCAATTAAAGAGCATTTTTCTTAAAGAATTTTAATTTTTCTAAAGTTTGAGTATCTTTAACTTAAATCAACAAAAACATAGCAAAAAAATATCAGGGAAAAATCAGAGAAAATCGATGTTAAATTATCGGCAGACACCTTGTAATACATAGTGGGAAAAAAATGCTATATGTTGCTATATGTTTTATTATACAACATAGCCAAACACTTTTATATATTTAATGTTCAATATTTTTAGGGGCCTAAGAAAGGAATTGTTAAATCTGGAAGCACGACGACATCAAGAAGTGTATGTTTTATGATTTTATTTTGTATAATTTTTTCTATTTTTGGGTTATTTTTCTATTTTGTTTTCGAAATGGTTAAATCGCAAAAAATTTAAAAATGAAATATATTTTTGTTTTAAACAGTGCTCGTCTCCAGATATTGGAGAGAGTCCAGGGTGGAGGAAACTTATGACCAATGCTCAACACCCAAAACAGTTACTACTTAAGGAAAAAGCGATTTTATTTAAAGACTATGTACAACCTTATCATTTTTTATCAAAAACAAATGAACGCCCTAACACTAGCGTAGAATCAATATACGGTTCTACAGTTGGCTCCGCTGCTGCCAAATCTGATCAATACTTATCGCCTTCTCGACAAACTAAGCGAATATATGAGCCGAATACAAGTTTGTTGCAAAATAAAAAGCAATTAAATTCAGCAAAAGAACGTTTTAACGAATCTCCCATATCTTTGGAAAATACCGATAAAAAAACGCAAAACCAAGTACCTAATTCTTTAGCTAAAAAAAGGGATATTGAAGAAAATGTTGTACCTGCTAATTTACCAGATGCTCATTCTATGGAATGGGATCCATATTTAGACAATAAACTTCAAAAAAGTAAAAGACGGAAAAAAAGACATTTTTCTCCTATAAATGAGGAGAGAGAAGAGAGCATGGAGCCAAAAACAAGTATAGATGCACAACTCGGTTCCGATAACTCTCAGTATTCATCATCAGACACTTCATACCCAGACTCTGTAACAAGGAGTGAAGCAGAATATACTGATAATGACATTTCTCCCCCATCTAATTCAGTTAAAAAAAAAACAGAACTAGTATCTAGTCCAAAAACATTGGAAAGAGGCGGCAGCGCCCAACTTCCACGAAAGTCTTATAGTCTTCAAGATAAGAAACTAAGTTCTCGTGAATAGCGGAAAACCAAAGCCAACAGCGCGAATCTGAAAATTAGATTAGTAGGTGACGAAATTTTTTATATTTATAACTGCTGACTTAACAATTCATAAATAATTTCAACACTTTTTTTTAGAACAGTAAATAAGATTTTTAAGGTATGCTTTTCAATTTCTGTATATTAAAAAAAAATACTTAAGTATAAATTAAAAAAAAAAAACTAAGTAATAAAATTTTTATCCTTTTCTTTGAATCTCTATTTTTGTTATCATTTTAATTCTGTAAAAATTGACTTTTTATATGTTTTACGTGTATTATAAGTGTTTTTTAGTATCCTGTAGTTCAGGAATTTGTACATTTTATACGACGAACCATCGATTGATGCAAAATAAATTTGTATATTGCAACGCACTCAATCTATTTATTAATCGCAGTTGACCTGCTTATACTAATTAAATTTTAAAACTCAATTAGAATGATTTTAAGAATTTAATTGTAGTCCGATAACTAAATTATTGCAGTCCACCTATTTAATTTTTAAAGTCCGGTTATTTATTTATTACAGTTTGAATATTTTAATTCAGTTTGACTATGAAAGTTACAGTGCATACAGTTTGACTATGAAAGTAATAGTTTATAAAAAGTGAGAAAAAGATTGGTTGAAATTAAAATGATACATTGACAAGTTTTATCTCCATCTTATTTAAGAAACCTTATTAATTTCCAAGCATTACCGGTTACCTATTGACTAAAAACGACGTTCTATATATATCCTAGCAACATTTACCGCGGTATCATCTTGGTAAACAAGTTTTCTCTTTGTCTTATATAAGAAACCTTATTAATTTTCAACCGTTACCGGTTGCTTATCGTCTAAAAATGGTGTTCTGTATATATCATAGCAACGTTTACCGCGGTATTATATCGGTAAAACGTCTTTGTGTTACCTTAAAAGTTAGCAACAAGACTATTTTTACGCCATACACAGTACCTTACCTGTAAAAATCCGGACAAAGTTCGTTATATATAATGTTGCATACCATTTGAATTTTTTAAAATTTAGTTTATATTCTTTAAGATCATTTAAATAGCTTTTTAAAAGATATTTTATCTTAAGATCATAACGTGATAACTTTATTATGTAATAAAATAATAACGCGTGTATACGAAATAAATATGAAAGTGTAAACATGTCATTTTTTTTCAGTGGTTGTATTAATAGATTTTTAATTATATTTCTATTTTGTTTGAAATGTAACAGTTTTAAACAAAATGTTTTAGTTTTCTCATTAATTTTAAAATAAGTTATTAAAATGACAATAGAAAAAGTTAGACAAAATACTTTTCACAAATATTTGGAAAATCCGAATAGTTATATACAGTTATATCAGTTATATATAGTTATAATACAGTTCAATCGCAAAAAAGTTACATACGCCCCTACCCTATTAGTCATGTTATTAAACGTTTTTTCCAAACAAAATTGATCAAACGCCAATCTGGTAATGGAAGAAAAGAGGTTTTTCAAGGCATAAAACTGGTTTAAAAACTGGTTAACAGTTTTAAGAATAACCCAAGCCTCTCACTAAGGAAACGAGCAAAAAACTAACGATTTTCTATTAATTTGGTTGCAAAAGTTCAAATGAAACATATTTTTCAATCTTTCAAATCACAAAAAGTGCGTAACTGTTCTGAAATTCAAAAAAAAAAGTGGAAGAACTTGCTGAAGAAACTTACATTACGATTATCAACAAATTCCTGATGCGGTCTATTATAATGTAGAATGTGGGAAAAAATTTTTTTTTATAATATAGGGGAAAGCGGGGCAACATGGCGAATGGGGCAAGATGGGTTTTCATATAACAACTCAACATTAAATATTAAAGTTGAGTAAAAGCGAAACTGTATTTGCATCTTGTATTTTAAAACACCAGTTGGTTTTTTTAAATATTATTGACGCAGTTTTACACGCATAAGTTTACTTTTTGCGCTTAAAAAAAAATTCCTCAGTTTCGGTTTCTCATAATGGATGGTGTCCTTCAAGTTTATCTTCTTTAGAAATAGTTTTTTGCGACTTGTGTTTATTTTGTGTTACTTTAGTTAGAGTTATTGGTAGTTTTTAAAATTTTATAACATTAGGTGCAAAAATTGCATAATAAGTCATCTTGCCCCGATCACGCGACCATATGACAAAATTATGAACTTTTTATTTTAATATTCATTTTAAGTTATTATATTTGCAAACTGAAAATTCATGCAGGAAATGAATCATTTTAATAACATAAACATACTGAGAAAGTATTGTTGCTTCACAACTGATAGTTTTGCAATAACTCAGGGCTTTCAAAACGTTCCTCATGTTGCCCCGCGTTCCCCTATATATTAATAATATTAATAATATAATATATAATATTATCATTAATAATATAATATATAATATTATTAATTATGTTTATAATATATAATATTATTATTAATATATATAAATTTATACTGAATAAAAATTTAAATGTACAAAACATGATAAGTTTGCTAAAAAAGCCTTGATTTAGCGAATTATTTGCAGGTATGACAAAAAATCAATACCCTTTATTTTAATTTGACTCTTTCTTGTAAAATATATGTTAAAGAATTTTTACAAAAACGTCTTTAACTTCTTACTATATCACATGATAGTAGACATGTGTTCTGGCCTGATTTATCATAAATAATAAAATAAAAAATCCTCTAAACTGCTCAAAATCGAAAACTATTGCAAAGTACTGGGTAATTATTAAACGAAAAAAGAAAAAAAAAACTATGCAGAAACATTAAAGATTTGAAAACATCATTTAAAAACTATCAAATAATTTTAATTGTTGATCTTGCGCAAGTTGTACTACCAAAACAAAAGTTCGAAATTTTATTAGATACCCTCAGGAATAAATTAATTTCTTTGAAATATTATATCTACTTAGATTGATGTATTAAAATCAATGTTTAGTTCTAAATAAAAGTTAATGAGTACCATTTTTTAGTTGTTTTTCAACTTTCACATTTATTTTGTGTTTAGATTTAGATAAATAACTTTAGATAAATTGCTTTATAACTTTAGATAGATCGCTAAATAACTTTAGATAAATCGCTAAATAACTTTAGCTAAATCGGTAAAAAAATAGTTTTTTAGATAAATCGCTATTAAAAATAACTTTAGATAAATCGCTTTAGATAAAAAACTAACAAACAAAAATAAACTGAAAAGCGTATTTGTACCAACTTCGTAAAAATCACATCGAAAAGATGTGATTTTTAAATAAACATACTGTTGAACTTTTTTTTTTAGAGCAAGTGACAAGATTAACCTTATATGATGTTCTAATATGTTTTGTAAATAATTTGAGCACCAATCAATGTACATCTCTTTTGAAATTGACATTCTACTTTCACTGAAAGTCAGGGGTTGTTGCATACTTACTTTGATGCCATGGACAATATTTGAAAAACTTAGAGCTAAGTTTGTGTTTCTGTTGGAGAAATTATTTCTGAAACTTTCAGAAATTGCAGCAACCCCTGACTTTTTTCCATGCATATTTCCATCATATGTTTGTCCTCGACATTTATACTATGAAAGTTAAAGCCTTGCTAAAACAACTTCAATAAAAACAAAAAGTGAATCAGTTTTTAGGTCTTTTAGCCAATAAAGTTCTAAAAAGTCTTCATGAACAATAAATTTTTCAGGTTTCAAACATTTAGCTCAGAATGACAACTATTCCTTATTAGATACAAGTGTATACAGTATACAGATATCACAGACACCACAGTTTAAAACCCTAAAACACTAATTACTAATTTCAGAATGAAATGTTTTGAATGAAAATTTTGTCATAATATTTTGAAGATTTAAACTACTTTTAAAGACTTTTAAAACTTTTTAGGTTTTTGATAATTCTTTTATCATCTTTTTTACGTAGTTTAGACTTTTAGAAATAGTTACCTAGTTCAACTTATTTGAGCAGAATCTTCATGCTCCTTAAAACGCTCAATAACTTTTTTCCAGTTGCCTTTAATTTTGATGTTAAAAGATTTACTTTGGCACCGAATTTTGTACAAATGCTACAAATTGCAGTATCTGTATCAGTATTGTAATGGAGCCAGGGATATCCACTTTGTTTATCAAACCATTGTGATTAGCAAGAACGTAAGGCTCACAAAAAAAATGTTTAAAAAACGTTGCAATTTTTTTAATTGATTTTTTGTGTTAAAAAATTTTAACACAATATATTCGGTTCCGTGAAACGCGAATTCCTTAATGTTAAAAAAATAGAAAACAAATACAAACTACTTCATTATTTTTTTTGCATTTTATTTTGAAAAAAACATATTTTAACTGAATTGACTTTTAGTTGATTTCAAAAATCTATTAGTTGATTTTAGTCGACTTTATACACCGTACCAGAAATATTTTATTAGAAAAAAAATGTCCACCAGAAACGGTTTGGTGTTTCGAAACCTCAATATTTTATACAATTATAATCAAAAGAAGATGTTAAACGGGCAGGTTTTGCACTATCTTAAAATTTTATTGTATCTTAAAATATATTGAAATACATTGGAAAAATTGATTTATATAAAAAATATTTCTAATCTTTTCAAAATGGCGACCAAAGAAAGTTTGAAACCCCTTCTATTTCAAAGGATTGTCAACTTTACGAAGTCATAACTTTTGAAAAAAAAGATTTTTTTACTAAATGAGAATTTTACAGATGAAATTTAGTCACGTTTATTATTGTAGAGCTATTTTAAAATGCTATTAATGCCCCCTATTTTAAGGCAAAGTTTAAATGTTACGTTAAATAAGGTAAATAATGTTTACATTACAGGTTAAATAAATAAACAACATTCTTCTAATTTGTACACTTCTTTGTGGTCACAGGAAGAAAGTTTATTAATAGATATTTTGAACTTTTTTTTATCTGCTGCAGTAGTTAAAAAAACATTTAAATTGATTAATATTGCTCATATCATTTCCAAATGTCAAACAAAAAAAAATTTTATAAAGATAATAGAGCCTTAGTCTGCCTAATTATTTTTTTAAACAGGATCAGGAATAACAAAACTTAAAAAAGGAAGTGTGAGATGGAACAAAATACAAAAGTTCTTTTTAAAACCATTTGATTTGAGGAATGATAACTTTCCTAATCGCATTTGTACTAAATGTAAAAAAAGCATTAGAAAGACTTGAAAAAAGAGATAAACATTACTCTAAGTAAACCGTATAATTTCTCAAAAGTCAAAGTTAGTATTCTTACCCGAAACCAATCATTCTGTGTTTGTGACATCTGTGAAAATGCTTGAACTACAAAAATATCCTGGATAAAAATCTGAAAATATAGGGAGAGTTAAGTTGGGAAGAGTGAACAATAAAAATATGT